CTAGTTAGTGGGTATTATCGAAAGCTGAAGGAATTCCTTGCGGAGGGCGGTTTTTGTCTCCTTACCTAATCCTGGTACGACCACGGTACGGTACCGGGATAGATTACCGGTGGACGTTGAGAAAGTACGCAGGACGTTCAATCATTGATGCACGTTTAATGTCGCACGCACTTATCCCTGGCCTTCAAGCATGATTCTTCTCCCTGGACTCTGTTCCACCATAAGCGACGGGCTCCCGTCGAATCGCCTGCCACTGCCTCTTCCGTGGTTTCCGCTTGTAAATTCCGTTTTTCCCTCACACGACACACCGCCAAGACTCCCTAGAGCGCGTATGGTAACGATACGTGGGCCTAGAAAATAGGGTCAATCAAGAGGGCCCACGTCCGTACCATATACCGGTGCCCCATCATTTTAGCAGAATCCCCCCCCTCATCGAAAGTCTTTAGGGTGGGATCGAACGGCGAGTCGATGATTAACCTCTTTGTAATATGGTTTGGTAACTGGATAACTACCCACCAGTGACAGTGATCCCCGGTCCCATGGACAGGATGTACGACTTGTATCCATGTATGTACACCGTACCCAATACAGCAATGCCTCGCCGTGTAACAAGCCAAAGAAGCTTGTTCGAAATTCTCTGTGCTTTTCTTAGGGCACGAGATGCATCAGGTCTTGATAATGGTGATTAATCCGCCGCGTATTGGTCCAGCAACAGGCCTGCTGCAAGCACTACTACTAGTAGCCAACCCGAGTCGGTGCATATGACGTAGTCGCCCAACTTCCCTCGTTATCATGATTGCATGACCTTAATCGGTCCGATCTGAAGACCATATCAGATCAAAGAAAGAAAAAAAAAGAAAGAAAGAAAGAAAAGAAAGGCATGGAAATTGGGCCGTGACGGGGAGGACGTTTTCGTCCGATCAAGATCTCTCATCCACGCAGACTGGTTTTGGTACCGCGTGGCGTCCAGTGTTTCCGGGGGTTACGATTGACTTGAGTTTAAAGTATGACGATCCGAGCCTTTCAATACAGGAGAATGCCTGGAGGCAACCAACACATAGTTAAGAGTATCTCCTGGTATTCTGTGTGGTTTAAACTTTCCCAATCTTTCGAAGTCCTTTTCAACCCCTCTTTTTCTTTTCTTTTCTTTTCTTCTCTTTTCTTTCTCTTTCTTTTCTTTTTTTGTTGATACTCTCCACTTGAAAACATCTGATTGAGCTGCAGAGGGTTCCTTTGGGCAATATGAGGACTTTCTCTTACTCGTTTTGGCTTTCATGGTATCTCGTAATTTTCTGGTTCGAGTTGAATACAATACACAGCGCCTCGACTTTCTAAGATAAAATAGTATCTCGTCCTAACTAATTCAATCTTCAGCGTGTAATTTCGGTAATGCATGGCCGCGAGGAACTACCCAGGTCAGTAAGATGCTCCGGAGGGGAGTGCATGTTACTATATACAGCAAGCAACAACTCTGGCCAAACCCACACACTCTGTCTCTCTAGCGAAAACCAAAATCCACTCGACTAGCACCACAAGTGGTTCCAGTTCCAACGCTACGGGAACAGTCTATGGCGTAATAGTCCAACCGGGACGAAGATCCTTTCGCTACGAGACGGTGGATCAGGTGATCCGTGGGGCATCTGTTGCCCTCTCGGGTTAGCACCACATGGGCACGTGAGGGGAATGGGGCAACTGATCAAGACAAACAAGACAAACAAGACAACAAGACAACGCCGCTACAAGCGCTGGAGATCTATTGAACTTTCCCCGACGATATATCACCACAGTCTTTGATACCACCTGGCAACCTCCCCGAAAGGGAAGTTGATAGACGGTCAGCTTTGTTTTGTACGCTGCCACATTCTATTGGTTGTCTGTACGCAGTAACCCATCCTATATTTTCAGGATAATTATTCTTTCCTTGGTCTGTTCATTACTAGGGCTGGACACGAATAGCAAAATACAGAGTTTCATCTACACCGAACGGTGTCCAGGCAGCTCGGTACCTGTCTCGATGCGTTCGTGTGTATCTTGTAGAAGGATAACAGGCCGAGAGTCTATGAATCAGGAAAGGACGCGGGCGGAGGCCTCAGATCAATCTCTCACGGCAAACTTGCTCCGCGCTCTCAACTTCGCGCCATACAAATAGATAAAAACCATCCCAAAGATCCCTCCAACCGAGAGACCCGCCAGCACGGTAACCCCTTTGCCAATTCCCAGGTCAAGATACATGTACCGCGCGAACATGACGAAGCCGGCGGCCGTTATAGATCGAGTAAAGTCGCCCGCCGCAAAGAGAGAGGCCACATAACGCGGGTACGATAACGGCACGTAGACCATAATCGCCTGATAAACAACAAAGGACGATCCCGAATATATGGCTATGCCAATGGTAGGCACGATCCAGTGAACTGGGTGTCGGGTTGTCCAGGCAAACATGAAAAGGCCAGCGGCCAGGAGAAAGACTGCAGGGAGTGCTGGAATCAGACGGTCTTCTTGACGGGGATTTTCGTTGCGACACCGAGGAATAAAGATGTACATCAGATACGCCCCGTAAAGTACTGCCGCTAATGCACACCCGACGATGATGGAGAGGAATATCAAGCTCAAAGAAGTTTGGGGCATTTGATATACACTGCCGTAGGCAATTGGGAAGGCCTCGAAGAATGAGTAATAGACAGCATACACCAACGACAAGTAAACGGACATATATGCGATAGCTGGGTCCTTGACTGTGATTTCAATTGGCTTAATCAATGCGTCAATCAATATGGCCTGGAAATCAAGCCGCCTGGTCTCAGCTGGGGCCAAAACTGCTGGATGAAAGCGACGAAGGCGTTGGGCTCGACGAAGCAAAATGGTCTCATGCGACGTCTCGGGCAGTAAGCAGACGAGAATGATGAGGAATGGTGCGCTCATTAGAACAATCTCCCACGGAGGCCAGCGCCAGTTGGAGGTCACCGCAAAGGCTGCCAGTAACGGTCCCAAGGCTGGGCCACAATAAATTCCAGTGACCCAAAATATGAATCCATAAGGGGCAGTGGTCAACGAAAGCATATCCTGGATCGAAGCACCCCCGCTGGCCAGACTTGGACTGCCAAAGAAGCCCTGAAGAAAACGCAGTACGACGATGGCAGGGAAGTTGTCTATGACTGCGAGGATAATAGACACGATTACAAACAGTATAAAGGATAATACATAAGGAGGATTGCGACCGATGCGAGCAATTTCACTCAATGGCGAGAAGATCAAAGGGCCGACACCGTCTGTGTTGAATTAATACTTCCACATGAAGATCGAAGTGAAGTCATTAGGGAAACGAACTCACATCCGACGACGTAGATAGCCAAGGTTAGCTGAACGACCTCCCTAGAAACGCCATATCGAAGCATCATGAACTCGTAACTGGGAATAACAATAGACGATCCACAATAAACGATAAATGAGTAAGCCCTAATATCGGTCAGTCGATAGTCGATGTCAACAATGTATTACACTTACGATATGAGCAATGTCACCCATGCTTTGCGCCCCAAAGCCCAATTTAGGGGGTTTTCTGGATCATCAGGCGTATACCAACTGATGATCACACTCTGATCAATTGTAGTCGTGGTGCACAGCTTCTCCGCGTATGGAAATGTTTCCTGGCCGCTCTCAAGGTCTTTATGGGAATGTTCGTCCAAGCATGAAGCTCTTATGGCCTCACGAATGCCGAATGTTGGATCATCTTCAGGATAGCTCAACCAGCGAGGGCCAAGTAGAAGACGAAGAGCATCACCTAGAACGGTTCCCTGTATCCAGCTTTTCATGGCGACAAACGATTGCTATGCCTACCTTTGGGGGGGAAAGAAAGGGGAAGAAAGCAAAGAGAAGGTAAAAAAAAAATTGAATGAATATCTGTATCTTTAGCTGTTTATGGTCTGAGCTTGAGAATCATAAGTACTTTTTCCCTGGGCATATAGTCGTGCAGTGATGCATGCAGGTTGATACATGAACAGTGCTCATCTTGTCTGGGTCGCTTTGCCTGTGGTATAGCACACAAATACATCTCGCAAGCTACAAGTTTTTGTCATCAATGATCATTATACATTCATATTTGACCGAATGAAAGGCGACTTGATGGAGTTAGTTTGCTTCACAGATTCTGACTCCCGCAACCATCAGTTGACGGTAGTGATGGGCATATTGGAAGCCTGTCAGTTTGCACCCAACCCTCCAACAAATACCAGGAATGAACCTGTTTATAAGTGTTAGAACCGGGAAACAAAGTTTTGGCACGGTATACGCACTTCCGGCAATTCTCGCAAGGATGAATCTATCAAGGCGAGGTCGAATCGGAGCCAGCGATTATTATCCACTCCCAACAACCTTATTTGCACTTCCTTCTTAGTAACTTGTCCTTGTATACGTGGTGCCACTATGGGTGATAGACATTAGATATCGAGGTGAGCTATTCTCGGGGCAGACAGGAGCTCTGAATTAGAGGCACAGCACCTTAAAATAGCCCTTATATGTATATTCCTTGTCCTATATTAATTGCCACGGTTGACATGTTCGCTATAAAGGGAGGATAAAGCGAAAGACACTTCCATGATATGATTCCTAGTGACAGATTATCGGTAATGGGGAGTCAACTATGGCTGTGTATCTAATTCAAGTGAAGAACTGAACCTTTTCCTTCATTGATTGAGAATTGAATGCGCCTTACACTAGTCCGATAAGCATGACGCTAGGATCAATTTCTCTTGGAAATCCGTTGTCTATCGCTCTGGAAATACTGTTCGACTTCATCTCAAGTGACATGATTGACCTTACGTCTAAACAATATCTATTAATCTCTATCTAACACTGTCTATAAACAGAGGTGACAGGCTTTAGCGCAAGCCGTTAAGCTAAAATTAAATACCGTGAAAATTCAGTCGAGTTGTTAAGTATCCAAGCAGGGGCCGTTCATAGAAAGAGCCTTCCCCCCACCCCCCAAAGCCAGACGATGCATGTCTTCATTTGCGCTTCTTACCCTTGGGTACTCGACAGAGCCAGTACAGGGATATGGCGGCAAATATATTAAACACCACGTACACCCACATCAACCCGAAGTCCCTCCATCGCGTCGAGAAGTCGATATTGACATTTTGCAGAAACTGGGTAGTGTTTCCTGTTGCGCAAAAGTGACAATCTTCGCCCCCTTGGGCTGCTGAATTGAGCAAGTAGCCCCCATTCGTGGCAATATAATCCTGCATATACTCACCACAGGTTAGGTTTGCGGGAGTAGAAAAGGACAAAAACTCCTTTTCAGCGCAGTGCATTGGCGCTTCGCCGAGACTGGTTGATAGCAATCCCGATACTAGGTACGTGAAGGGGTTGACTCTGTACATGAAAATCCAGAAACCAGGAAGAGCGTGCGGGCCTGCAAGAATTCCGCAAAACGCGTACATCATGATAGCTAATATGTTGGAGAGACTCGAGGCGATCTCTTCACTCTCGATGCCTGCGATTAACATGTGCGCCAACGAGCTGGCGAAGAGAAAGGTCGCCCAGATGAAGAGGAAGACGAGGGTGCTTCGATAGTGCAGCGTGTCGGTGTACTCAGCGTTGTGGAAAAGACCCACAGGGTAAAACCAAACAAGGAAACAGAATATTGCCATGATCTAGGAGATGTTAGAGTCTGACCAGGTAATAGGCGTCGTACAGAGACTATGTGGATAAGACCTACCGAGTTCCATGCAAGCTCGACTAGTATGTTTGTGAGAACGAATGCTTGCCACGAGTAAGTCTTGGATTGTCGCTCCCGTGCTTCGTAAAGCGTTCGTTGCGTTACGAACGACGGGATGATCTGGATAATCAACTGGATGACGACGAAGAGGAAGACAAAAACACCAAACATTTGATTTTGTAGGCCCTGGGCTGTATTGTCGGCTTTGAAGAAAGAGAACCCGATGAAGAGTGACTGGGGAATAGCTCATTAGAACACAGTATAAATATAAGTCCGTCGAGAGAATACTCACACAACCAATCGTCAGCAAAACTTTGGAATAGATATACGCTGGTGTACGCCAGTATTGTTGGAACACTCTTAGCCCAACTTGCACAAACTGTGTCGCGAACGGAGCCGCGAATTCCGCATAGCTGGATTTGTCGTTCGTGTCTGCAACGGGCGATGATTGATTGGCCAAAGCTCTCAAGTTTGAGAGCTCATGGAGCACATTCTGATATTCAGGGCTGTTTCGCCAAACCGCAGGCCAGTCAATCTCGCTTTTAGCTCCAGGTGCGGCGCCAATCACCTCAAGCATGTGCTCTGCTGGATTGCTGCCAGGTGGCAAAACAGGGCCACCATTACGAGTGAAATAGTCCATCAGTATTCTAGATTCGCGTCCGATCTCACCAAAGTAGACGGTTTTGCCTCCCTTTGCTAGAAGAAGCAGTCTATCAAAGCGTTGGAACAACATAGCAGACGGCTGGTGAATGGTACAGAGAATAGCTTGTCCGTTCTTGGTCAGAGTCTCCATCAGATTGCAAATTGACCATGACGTCTGGCTATCCAGGCCAGAGGTAGGCTCGTCCAAGAAAAGAAGCAGCTTCGGGCGTGCGGCCAGCTCAACGCCAATCGTAAGGCGCTTTCTCTGCTCCACGTTAAGACCCTCTCCAGGTATCCCAACTATAGCGTCAGCGTAGTCTCTCATATTAAGAAGGTCAAGAACTTTCTCAACATAGTCCAGCTTTTCTTCCCGGGTATACTGAGGCGGTTGTCTGAGCAAGGCACTAAACTCTAGAGCTTCACGCACAGTGGAGGTGTGAAGATGAAGATCTTGTTGTTGTACATAACCTGTTTTCCGTTGAAAGGAGCTGTCCCGTGGTCGGCCATCGACGAGCATATCACCACCGACAACCCCAACTGTGGTGCGGTTAGCCAGCACATCGAGTAGAGTAGTCTTTCCAGCACCGGAAGTGCCCTGTGAATTGCTTGTGAGCCTGACATAGTCGGAAATGTCCCGGTAGAGGTAGCTTACCATTAAGGCAGTCAAAGTGCCAGGCTTGATCCAGCCATCAACATGATCTAGAATCCGCCGGGTTTCACTCTTGATCTTAACATCATAGCATACATTTTCCCAGTGAAAGATAGAAGCCTGTTTCTCCACACCTATCGTCGAGTCAATTCCTTCGCTATGCTTCTCGTTTTGGATGACAGGGGCTTGTGTCCGCTCCTCATCGTGTTGGCATTGTTTGGTCCTGGCTTTTTGTGAGCTGCCGCGGCGAAACACAAGAACTTCTCCCTTTGACCGCTCAGAGGCAACTAGCTCTGTTGCTATAATTTGGCACAGTGCGAGAAAGATAGTGAGTGCGAGAATAATACCAAAATTTCTCCAGCGATGACTGTTTTCATATCCGTATGTGGATCTAACGAAAGTTGTGCCGTCAACGAGATCTGAGCCTGGAACAGATCCTACGACCGAGCAGATACGCTCGTCGTTGGAGATGTTCTCGTATCCGACCCCAGAAGGGACGAATGACGCACAGGGGAAAGTCCTCCCGTGAAATTCATTGACCATTATAGCCTCGAAACCATATGCGACTGGATTCAAGTGCCGAATCCACGAAGCCCATCCGCGCATATAGCTAACTGGAATGGCAAACCCAGTATATAGGACTAGAGCCATAAGGATGATTGATGACGGAGCCAACGCCTGCTGGATGGTTTTGGTAAGTGAGGCAAAGAGGCGGAAAAACATCGACATGCTCATGGCCATCATGAAAGAAATTAGATAGTTGAAGAAAAACGGCCCGGGTTCACGGCGGAGATTTGCCATGAAATACAATGTTATGTTCATCAATATCGAGTTCACCAGTTTGTATGGCATGTCCATGATCATTGACGATATGGCCTCGGCGCTAGGGTGGTAGAGGGCATATCGGTTATGCTTTTCCACGATCGTTCGTTTCGCATACAAGCTCAAGATTTCGAGCATGCTTGAAAAGGCATTCAAGAGAACCATCATAAATAGAATAGCCCCGCGGGAGAAGAACGATGAAGTGTTCCCTGAGAGATTGTAAAATATACTCGAAATTATCAGCGCCTCAAAGAAATTGTTAATAAGCATGACGATGGTCACACTTGGATCGTTCTTCAGACGTTGAAATTCCCTCCACATACAAAGTCGAATTTGGCCCCAGTATGACAGAGTATATGGTGATTTCAGTCGTTGGTTCTTTGACTTTTCTGTCTTCCGGGATTGGGCAAACCGATCAAGATCGGCTCCATCGAAGGGATGTTCATTAGCGTACTGATCAATTTGGCGCAACAAGGATTGGCGTTCAGGGCTCTCTTTCCAGCGCTTTGCAAACTCCTCGGATGTTCTAGGTGCCAGGCTCTCAAACCCCGGTCTGACGATGCGTTCGGTTGGACTGGACATCGATGTGAGGAAGTCGGCAGTTGTCTGAGACTCAGGGCATAGAAAGCCGAGTCGTTCAAAGTAACCTTTAGCATCATGAGCAGCACCGAAGTATATCTGGTGTCCTTCATACAAAACAATGACTTTGTCAAAAAGCTGGCTTGTTGGTTAGCAGAGTCCAATGCCCGGTCACAGCTTCTTGAGCTTACATTGTACGCCGATTGGGGAGCCTGGTATATTGCAACACACGAGGTCATTCCAAAAACATCGCTTTGTGTCCGTAAGGTCCTGCAAAACTCCACCGCGTTTGCACTATCCAATCCTCTAGTGCTGTTATCCCAGCACTGTAATGGGGAATAACTTAACGCAGCCTCCGCGATCGTAACCCGCTTTCTCTCACCTCCGCTGACACCACGAACGAAGTCGTTACCGACCCGGGTATTGATAGTATGACTGATCCCAAACATGGCCATGATGACATCTCGTAGATGAGTGGCGTACTCCTGGGAACTGATGCCACCCGGAAGGTGACGAGGTGCACGGGCAAGGGACGCAAAATACAGCGTATCGCCGACTGAGAGCTGTGGGTAATGTGCATCAACTTCAGCGGTGTATATAGCCTCGCCCCGGAATTGCGTTGACATTTGCCTGGGAGTTATGCCTTGGTAGTTGATATAGGCTGCTGGGTCTACCTGAAATCCATGGGTTTCACCAGCTATAGTTTTGAGAAAGGTTGAACAGCCCGATCCAGGAGGGCCCAGAACACAAAGCTGTTCACCAGGAAGAACTAGCCCATCAAGGCCTTGCAGGATGTTAATTTTCGTTTTTTTGCCGCTAAGGAACTGATATATCTGGGTCGGCAACTTCAGCAGGGCATTTCCCACACTCATTTGGTAGTCCACAGGACTACCGTACCCGGAAACGTTCAAATCTTTGAACGCAACACCGGCAACTCGTGGCGGACAGTTTTCGTCGGCATTATACCTAGCGTTGTAGAAAGCTTTCGCCCAGTCTCTAGCACGGAATTCGGGGCTGTTTGGATCCAGAAATCCACCTTCACTCGCTTCAAACGGGGAACGACAATGATTCTTCTCAGACTTTGTGCTCAATTTGCGCGCTAGGTTCGTCAGTTGCTCGTCGATCTCCGCTCGATTCTCCCCAAGTTTGTCTTTCTGTTCAAGATCCGACTTTTCACTGTTTGCGTAGGTTTGAGTCCCTGAACTAGTGCCTCCGTCCATAGCGAGGGCCATCTCTGATGCATGTGGAGGCGGTGGCTCATTCCCTCGAGAGGAAAACATCCGTAGTTTAAATGTCTATAGAGAGATCAGTAAAAGGATGAAGCAGGGAAAAGAAAACGACTTACTCAGGAGCAACGTGATTGTTGCCTCTGAATGGCAGATGTGATTAAGGTTCCGCCTGGCGTCTGAACTCACGCAGAGCTGCTCGTGTCACGCTACAGACGAAAGCTCGCAATAATGAGCCGGGGGGTTGCTTTATACATGGATGGGGGAGGGCGACCAAGCCACGGGAGATCCATGGGGTTCGGAAATGTCTCACAGTATGTGTGGACCACTAAGCCACTTCGTCCTCGCGAGTGGAGGCCAAAATATCGGATTCGGACTCTTGGCTCAAGAATCTCCGTGAGTCATTCCGACTCATCTAGCACGTACTGAATAGATCGGCTGTCTGTGCAAGAATCTCGGCACACTGTCGGTGAGAGCCGGACGCCCGTAGAGGTCGGGCTCCAGTACATACAACCAAGTCCATTGTTCTTGGCCCAAAGTTAAGTTGATAGCTTGGAGTGGGTTCAGGCATAAACCAGTCCAGATTTTGGTGGAAGTGATCGATACGAGGAGTGCAAAGGACAGCCCTAAGGAGAGGAGAGCACGGAGCCCGCGGGCTCCGACTCCACAGCAGGACGCGGCTCGTAAAATAGACTGTCGCTCCTTTATGCCACGCCACTCAAGGCTAATCATTTAAACTAGTGGAGTCTTCGGACTTTCGGACTATAAAGATTTGTCCGTGTTCCAGGATGACTACTTCGTCCTAGTAGTATCAATGGAAGAGTCTCAAGCCCATCACCACCACTACTACTAGTAGTAGTGACTCGGTCTGCCTCCCAGGACAAATGTCGACCCCGATTTCTTTCCCCGACCAATCCCTTTCGGTGCGTGCTCTTTCAAGCTCAGGGATCCTATTTTCGGAGCTAAACGCTAAACCTAGGCAGTGCGAAAGGTGTAGAAAGAAAAAGGTACCCACTTTTCACAGATGCATACTGGAGAATTTTTGGCTGACCTTGACATTTCTACGACCGGGCAGATCGGTTGTAACAAAGTGCTTCCACGATGTAATCGATGTGTCGCATCCAATGTCGAGTGTGTTTACCCGACTCGACGTCGGAGAACCAGAAGATCAAGGTCCTTACGAGTACATGCTTCTTGTGCCACTGTCACGAACGCTAACCGGGACAGGACCGTGTATCGCGCAAGGCAGAATGATGGTGCTTCCACTGGAGCATTCTCTGACATTCTCAGGCGTTTAACTTCATTGGAGCAATCTCTGGCAGTAGCGCCACGTCAGTCTCCTGTAGCCGGTGACCGGAGAAGTTTATCCGTGCCCTCCCACAATGGTATCCTAGAACCTCCTCGGAATAATGGTAAGTAGTAGTGTTGGATCCTGATGAGCTCCATCAGGTGCGATAATGCATCACAGGCAATAACAAATTCAATCCAGATATCATTCAAGAACGCATTCCCTCTCATCATACTACACAGCAGACCACGCCAAATATTCCAGTGCTCAGCCCAGATGCTGGTAGTACCTTGGTTTGGGACGATGCACCCATCACCAAGAATATGGCCTCCGAATGGGTCAATGGTACACTTTTCCAATCACACCAGTACTCAAATGCTCGTGAACTAATCTCTTCGTAGTATTTTATACTCTGTCATGGGGCCCTGAGCTTCCTGTGGGAAAAGATTTCTTCCTTCTTCTTCCTGACCTGTTTGACCTACCACACGTCAAGATCGACACGTCTGCACTTCTTGTATACTACAACGTTCTTCTCCAAGGGTTATTCATGGATCGAAGGCTCGCTCGCAGGAGAAAGGACTATGCGTCCTATATGTACAGGAAGATGCTATTACATGCGAAAGACTGGGACTTCGAGACCCAACCTACACTCACAGACCTTTACGCCGCAATTCTCCTGGTACGTCACGCATTCATAGTGGACCACATTATGCGTTCAACAGACCCTAACCTGGTTCAAGGTTTTGACAACAAACTTTTTCTTTGAGAGGGAGCTTTCATGGAAATTCCATTGCTCTGCATACCGCATAGCCTGTAACCTGGGCTTCTTATTGCTAGACGCCGACGTCAGTGGCAACTGCCAGTCCCCCCATAGCCACTCAGTTCATAAAGACCAGATGCGGTTCTGTATCTGGAATTTAGTGCACAACGATTGTATTTTCCGCCTTCATCTAGACAAACCAGGCCTTCTCGATCCCAGCACCATGGTCGTCAAATTCCCAGAGCTATCTATGTGGAACCCTAACGAAGGGCTTAATCGATCAGCCCAAATTAATTTCTTGGTGGCCACGCGTCTTGCCTTTGCGAAACTACGGTTTTTCGATATGATGGATGATGCACGGCAAAATGGATCAGAGCCATGTGACCAGTTAATAGAGAATTTGATCGGGGAGACTCAGACAGCTCTTACAGACTGGAAAATAGTAAGTTGACGCAACAAGCCAGTATGGTCGATATCGCTCTCACATCCGTAAAATTTAGGATGAATGCCTCGGAGCAGCAGAGTATAGCAACAGCCTCTGGTTTTACGACGAACTCATCCAAAACGCCTGTACCACCGCCATTCTACTCAATCGTACAAGATCAGTATCAAATAGACAGGCGTCCAAAACCCAGTCGCCTGAGGCGGCAAGGAGAGCAATTGAAAGCATGAAGCAAGCAATGACCATTGATTCGTCTGGCTCTTACTGGCCACTATGGTACGTTGTCCTATTGTACAGAATCGAACGGAATTCTTTCGAGCTGACGGTTCTTCTATCTCTTACTAGTTACTTCTCTTTCTACTCGGTCATCACTATCCTTACCATATTCGCTAATATTTTAGAGACGAACGAGCCTGCCGCTATCGCTCACGACATGTCCCTCGCGGTGTGGTTCGGGGCCATGCTGATCCAGTGGACAGCTGAGCGCGAGGAACTCAGACCGGTTGAGGCAGTCGTCAGCACATTGAACGACATATGTCGGCAAGTCAAACTGTGCACGTCCAGCATACAGGTTCAGCCAAACAGTCAGCTTGTCACGGGTGCGACACCCGCTGACGGGATAATGCTTAGCCCCAGCTCGGTCCAAACGCTCAATTGTATCGGCATTAAAGTGCAAGATCTTGTTCAGAATCCATATGAGACGATTTTACTTGTCGAACGGTGGATCTACTCTCAGCGTCTTAGCAGTCCTGAGATATGACTACTATTACGAAATGCACATTAACACCGGTTCCCTTTTGTCTGTTTCGCCAAGACTTTTAGTTACGCACTTTTTTTTTTTTTTTTTACAACTCTTAGACCCGTTGTTTCGTGAAGCGCTTTGTGGACTCTCCTGAGACCTGTCGTATGGGCTTGTTTATTAAAAGGCCCTCTTTTCCCGCACATTATTACTAGGTAGATAAATCGATCGGAATAGAATACTACATACATACAAGCGATGCTCTCATTTTTGAGGCTCGCCGGATATTGTACAGTACAAACATAAATATATATTTTCAATTTTCCCTCAAACTTGTTATACTAATTGATGAGGTAGTCATGCGTTGAGTATCTCCAAATATATATTTTACTTTCACATCGTTTACGATTTGACCTTATCATCCATATACATTTATTTCAAATTTCATGGATCTTTGAAATACTACTACTTGGCTGTGCTTGTCCTACATTCCAGGACAAGCAACTCCGTAGACCAATAATCAATGGTGGGTTATTGATCGAGCAGGGACATTGCTAACAGTCTGGTATGTAGTGGGCTTTACCTAACTATTTCTAATCTTGTAGGTAGGGTCGTGATCGAGGTGAACAAGTCTTGCCAGCGTGTCTGCCATGTAATTCCCACTGCATCCTTGCTGATGAGTTGATGTATTATGGGCCGGCCACACCAGTCTTTCCGTGTCAAGTGGTTGAATTGCGAAAAAAACTGGAGGTTGATAAAGAGGTGTGAGGGTAAAAGGGAGGGACAAGATATGGTGTTACTATGACCATTTACAGAACAAAACTACGTCTACGAACGCGGTCCACCGGAGCATATTGAACGATTAATCAAATTCCCTGGGAATCAACCCAATTATTGCTCCGAAGAACCCTGAAATAACAAAAGGTGGTCGTGACAATCATGAAAACTACAGAAACCCAGAAACGCCGGTTTGGCAAGAAAGAACCTAATTCCCCCTATTATTTGTCTGAGAAGTAAACTTTTTGGTGGACTATCGCTTTAAGCATAACACTTAAGCAGCAAGCTCACGGATCTTCTGCTCAACGCGAGCCTTGCGCTCGGCGTGGGTCAGCTTCTTCTTCTGGAACTTCTTGCTCTCAGCCTTGTACTCCTCCTTGGTCTTCTTGGAGCCCTCATCCTCATCCTTCTTGAAGGGGTCCTCGCGGATGGCCTTGTGGGCCTCAGTGTAGAGGTCCTCGATGTCACCAGCCTCAACCTCGTTCTCAAGGTACTTGTGGAACTGACCGCGGTAACGCTCCTCGTCGTCGTCGGCAAGACCCTCCATGTACTCGGCGACGTGGCCACCGAAGATGTAGGTGCGGAGAGTCTCGGCATCGAGCTCCTCAGTCTCAATATCGAAACCGGGGAAGCGGTTCTCGGAGTGGGGGACGAGGATACCACCGTCGGAGGCACCCTTCATGGCAGCGAAGACACGGGCACCAGTGGAGGTACGGGCAAGACCAACATCAAGGAAGGCCTTGAAGGGGCGGCGCTCACCGTCCTCGGTCTCAACGGCCTCGGCGAGAGCGTACTCACCGTCAGCCTCCTCAACACCGGGGAACTGCTCGTCAATGCCAAGCTTCTTGAGGGTACGGCGGGCGAGGAGGAGACCGGTGGCGTAGGCGGCAGCCCAGTTGGTCAGACCGTTGGTGATGCCATAGCGCTTGAGCTCGTGGGCGTAGGCGCTGGCGAAGACCTTGTCACCGGAGATCTCAGAGTAGACGATCTGGGTGATGATGTCGCGGTTGGTGAAGCGGACAACGAGGCGGTACTTGGGGGCGTTGTACTTGTTCTTGGCCTGGGTGATCAGGCGCTTACGGGCATAGTAATCAGTCTTGCCCTCTCTGCGACGGCGGTACTTGGTCTGGTAGCGGCTTTGAGGGGATTAGTATTTGGGCCCACAATGATAGTTTTTGCAGAGTTTATCACTCGGAAAGACTCACCTGTAGTAAGCGCTGTTCTTGACGAGCTTGTGGAAAGGCTACAAGAAAGACACCCGAGTCAGCAATTTGCGCTTCAGAAAAAAAGTCGTATCCGAAGCATCTTGCAAAGACCCGTTTTTCCAGTCCCACACATCCTGTCCACAGCGGAACAAAATCGAGACTAGTCAAGGGCGACACTGGACAACACAATAAAGGTCGTCATCCGTCTGGGATAACAGCAAAACTCACCATTTTGACTGTTTGCCGTTGAGAACCGAGTTGTCGATGTTGGCTGAAGAAAAAAAGAAAAGGGAAATTGGTGGGATGACTTTTGTGGAAGACTCTCGCTTAGCGCCGTTCTGCAGCCCGCCGCAAAACTGAGGTTGGCCACGAGCCCCGGAACACGTCTTTAAGACTTGGACCACCTCACTTTACTACGTACCTTAACTATTTGGCACCCATCTTTTGCATTAGCGGCTTGGCAGTGGACCCAAACGATCGTACAATTGTAAAACCACTGCGGTATCAAAGGAAGGTGAATATGATGATCTAAAATATTGACAATTCCAGTATTATGATCGTAAGTTTGTGGTCCAAAGGTTATACATGCATGTATGTATCTACTTATCATAGGAGTGAGAGATATATTAGAAGGTATATATGTATTCAATATTCTACGTTTATCTCGAATATAGCCGGCGGTCTGCCAACAGCTGCTCAAACACAGGACCAATGATAGCGTCATCATAACCAAGCGATAGCAATGAACTCGTCACTGCATTGAAAGGTCTTATATGGTCTGTCACAACTTTCCACAACTGGTCCTTCATCTCGAATGCGCATTGATAGTCCAGTATGAGACGTTCAAGGCGGCTCGTCGGATTCATCACGCCGATTTGAGGGTCGGAACCGAGTTCAATCACGATGCAGTGACCAATCTCAGAGAAAGAGCATTCGATGACGAGGCCAGGTGCATGGCACGCCTCTTCGACGGTCACCTTAGCCTCTTTCGTCCTGTCGATGCCGTCACAGAAAACTTTCAAGTCGTTTGGCACGGATGTCAACGACAAAAAACGGAATTTCGAGGGACGTTGGACTGGCTCCACGGTAAGCTTTCCTTCTGCCTGTTTGAAGTGTACAACGGATTTTCGTTGGCCCTTGCCTCTCATCGCATCGGGCGCATCGTCTCGAATATCCTCCAAAACAGTGGCTTCCGCATCGTTGCCGATTACAACGAGAAACTCTAACTCGTCCACATTCAAGCAACCGTTTTCAGGAACCGGGCTGGCATCCAAGGGAATAATGGTTCCTTCGCGGGCCAGAACCGGGTATTCTTCTAATCTCCGGTAAAATGTGATCTCGCGGTTTGCGTCATACAACTGACCAGTAAATATGTCAACAAACCGGGGGCCAGGCGGCAGCCATGCTTTGACAGCCCCTAAGTGCGTTGTTTTATTCCGAGGCTCAACAATGGGAGCAATCAAAAGTTGCGATCCAAAGATATATTGATTGGGAAACGCGTACGCCTGTTCAGCGTCCGGGTACCACCAGTACATCGGCTGCACCAAAGGCTCACCCTCCACAGAGCCAATTACGTTGCATGTGTACAAGAATGGTACCAGTTGATGTCGTAACCTCATAAAGTTCGCCATGACCTTCTCGTACTCTGAGCGGTACATCCATGGCTCTTTAGAATTCCACTTCGAATCAGACGAATGGAGTCGGAAAATCGGCGAAAAGACACCGAACTGGACCCAACGAGTAACAAGTTCATCGTCTCTGCTCCCAAATATATGACCACCAATATCATGGCTCCACCATCCATAACCGATATTCGACGCGGTTGCGGTGAACTCCGGTTGGAAGGCCAAGGAATCCCAGGTGACCACCGTGTCTCCTGAAAATCCTACAGGGTATCGTTGGCTTCCAGGCCCAGCGTATCGAGAAAAGATAAGTGGAGTGATGTTTTCATTTCGACCATGATCAATGTAGTGGAAGTGGTTCAAAAGCCAAAGGGGATCGAGGCCAGAGACTTTGGAGTAAGGGCCTTGCTGCCAATCAATCCACCAAAAATCACACGCTGTTTTCTCTAGCGTATGGTGCATCTCGAGGTACGCTTTCATGAACCTGGGGTTAGAGGGATCAAAGATAATTGGTATTTTTTCCTGGGTATTATAGCCTAGCGCCTTGGCCATTTCCTCGTACACATCTTCATGCGAGTGAATTCCATTATGAGGGTGATCGTTCAGAGTAATCTTCAGGCGTCTCTTGTGCAGGTCACTCCGGAATTTCTCCGGATCTGGGAAGAGATTCTTATTCCAGGTATAGCCCGTCCATCCGGCATGAGGTACACAAGGGTCTGAAACAAGATGCCAGTCCATATCCACCACTGACACTGATATTGGGATGTCGTGTGCACGGAACTCGTCCATCAGTTGGACATACTCGTCCTGGTGATAGGCATAGTATCGGCTCCACCAGTTGCCGAGAGCATATCGGGGCAGAATGGGCTGGTTGCCGGATACTGAATAGAATGCTTTGATCGCAGCTTTGTAGTCATGGCCGTAGCAAAACAAGTACCCATCGATACGATCGCCCGGTTTCCGACCCGCCACGAAGTCTCCATCGAAGAGCATGGATTTGGAATCATCGAGGGCCGCATATCCGGCTTTGGAAATCACTCCTTCTCCCATATCACAACGGCCGTCGCAAAGGTCCAGGGTCCGAGCTGTGCCTCCCAAGTTGAGCGAGCCACCCAACTGGAGTTTCTCGTCCAGTCCATACTGCCATGGAGCTCCCCAGTTGGTATGCTTGAAGTTGAAATGGACGTTCAACCCTGCAGGAGAAAATCGTTTCTTATCGTAACATAGATGGAAATGGTTGGTAATGATCTCGAGATTATCGTCGTTGTCAACAAGACGGAATTGGGGCGTCGGGAAGTGCCGGTTAATGGCGAAGGTGGACGCTCGGTCCTCGAAGCAGCCGTCAGACGCCCACTCGTACCGAACCAAGCGGTCGGTGAGAATGGTAAACCGATACTGCGAGCCGGAAACCACCGCCTCAGGGTTGGCGACGGGATTGGTTGTGAATGCCATCCTTCAACGGGTTTTAGGACGCATTCGACATTGCGACTTCTTGGAACTCTCTGGATTGATATTTATAATTTCTGCAACGTATTGATCTACATTTTCGAGGGTCAGATAACCCAGCGAGGCGAGCAATTTAGCGAGTAATTCCGCGAGCAATTTGGCGAGTATTTCAGCGAATATTTCAGCGAGCAATTCCGCGAGCAATTCAGCGATTGGCTGGCCGAGCCTGGATAGATCCGCGCTTGCATTTTGCCGATCTGCCAACAGTTTCGCCGATTTAGTAGTTCTACTCACCAACTTTAATTTTGCTTTCCCCCGGCTTCCATTACCTCGACAAGTTCGGTTTACACTTTCCCGCGTCTCTTTCGACGGAGTATGTAGAGCCAAAGTGTATGCCTGGGGTAGTCTCCACGGGGACTGGGGTCCAATGCGGGCCATCCATACTACTAGCATGGGTATATAGTCGATTCGCACCCCAGACGCTTTGGTATTATCTCCATACTCCAAACCCTTTATTCAACCTTCTACCAGTGTGGAAATCCTCGAAAATGGAGAAGAGTTCGGAAACCGTCCACATAGAATCGAAGCGGAATCAGAACACGGACAACGCGGCCCATGCTGTCCAATCTGAACGTCATATGGGCTTTCTGGAGGCCATCCGCCTCTATCCCATGGCAGTCTTCTGGTCAGTAGGCCTCTCTACGGCGGTGATCATGGAAGGATATGCGGTCATGCTGCTATCCAGCTTCTACGCACTTCCCCAGTTCAATCGCAAATATGGCCAGCTCCAGCCCGATGGCACCTACGTTATCTCCGCCTCTTGGAAATCCGCTCTTTCCAACGGGGCTGTTGTGGGCGAAATCATTGGCCTGTTCTTCACGGGCATCGCTCAAGACCGTTTCGGCTACCGTCTGACAATATTCGGAGCACTATGCCTGGTCACTGGGTTCATCTTCATTTTATTCTTCGCGCAAAACGTCAAAATGCTCCTGGCTGGGGAAATCTTGTGTGGCATCCCTTGGGGCGCCTTTCAAACCATCACTGTGGCGTACGCCTCCGAGGTCTGTCCTGTCGCACTACGGGGGTACCTGACCACCTATGTCAATCTTTGCTGGGTCATTGGCCAATTCATCGTTTCTGGTGTGCTGAGAGGTGTACTCGATAGGCCAGACCAATGGGCGTACCGGATCCCATTCGCGGTGCAATGGGCCTGGCCCATCCCTTTGATGATAATGTGTCTATTGGCTCCGGAGTCTCCATGGTGGCTTGTCCGCCATGGTCGGCAAGAGGAAGCGCGCCAAAGCCTTGTGCGGTTAATGAGTCGGTCAAACAATACTGTCGATGATACTTTGGCCATGATCCAGCATACCGATCACATCGAAAAAGAAACCTCAGCGGGTACTTCATACCGGGAGTGTTTTAAGCGATCGAATCTGCGACGCACAGAAATTGTGTGTTTGGTGTGGCTGATCCAGGTAATCTGTGGATCACAACTTATGGGCTATTCGACGGTGTTTTATATTGCAGCAGGACTTCCTTCAAGCTCTTCGTTCAACATGTCGCTGATCCAGTATGGTCTCGGGGTCATTGGAACGATACTCTCTTGGTTTCTCATGACATACGTGGGCCGACGAACTCTTTACCTGTACGGGAACATTGCCCTGTTTTGGGTTCTTCTAGTCATCGGCTGTGTTTCACTGGCGCCCCATAGTGCGAGCGTGAACTGGGCCATTGGGGCACTACTGTCCGTGTTCACATTCACGTATGACCTGATGGTGGGACCGGTCTGTTATTCACTTGTATCAGAGCTCTCATCGACACGATTGCGCGCGAAGTCGGTGGTTTTGGCCCGAAACCTTTACAACGTTGGAAATATAGTGGTTAATGTGTTGATCAATTATCAGCTTACTTCGACAGCATGGAATTGGGGAGCCAAGTCCGCTTTTTTCTGGGCCGGGGTTTGCTTTTGCTGCGTTGTTTGGGTATTCTTTCGTCTGCCGGAGCCGAAAGGGAGAACATATGCAGAGCTTGATGTTCTTTTTGAAAGACGCGTGTCCGCTCGCAAATTTGCATCGACAGAGGTGGATATCTTCCAATCAACCATTGTTACCAAGTGAGACGTTGAGAATGACTGGCTTGCTACCTCTTCCAGTGGTGATGTGATGATTGTAGGTCGCTGAGGGAGAATACTCGAGAGCCATTTGAACGGTGGAAGGAGTCGATGATGCTAGGGTAGCCCGGGACACTATGTACATAATCAAGACGTCCGTAGGCCTTCACATCAATTCCCTGTGATAACACAGTTTCTTTCGAACGTACATGCATCCCTTTGGTCTTCCGCATCTTCTTCTGCAACGGCGAATTTGCACAGCATGTTAAAAGGGCTACTAAAGCAAATCGAGTACTCGGCCAGTCGTCCTCCCAGAGATAAAGCAAATTTATCATGAGAGTTTGGACTTAAGGAGAGGTATCTTTGAATTGCACCTAGTCGATCCAGGTTTTGTGTCATTGTCGCTGTCCAGCCTTCCATATTTATCGAGCAATGGATGAAGTCAGCCAGGGCGTTGCCTACGTCGTATATTTTCTCGAACTGTTCCATCTGGTTAGCTTTAGTGCATGTAGGAATAAGTTCGGAACTCACTATCCCCAATCCATGAACCTCCACTGCGTCTTTAGAAAGCGATGACAACGTTTGGAGTAGGGATAGCGAAATATCTTCAGGATATGAAAACGTTTTAGACTGGGATTCAGCCTTGGAAGACAGCAGCCCCTGCTGAAGGCCCGCTCTCCATAGAACCAGCTCAAGCCAGCGCTGGGTCACAAATATATCAGCTCTCTGGGCGTCAGACATCACATCACAGCCCGGTAGCAGTTTCGAGCAGAAAGGGTGCCAGGTCGAACGGGCGGAGCCAGTTGTCCCCTTTTCACTCCAGAAGGACAGAAAGTTGACATCAATCTGCGAATAAACGTGTACAAGCTGGCGGAATCCGAGGTCAATTTCCGGCGGTTCCTCCAGGTCCTCTAGGTGATCGTTTGGCTCGGGGGCCGGAAGAAGCAACGGCTGAGGTAGCAGGACCGATTTATGTCTTGCCACGGCCATAGATCTTTCCGTGACGAACAGGATGTTGTAGGTCCGACGACAGTACAAGGCACTCACATAGTCCATGCCACGGTAGAATTCGTCTGTATGCAAGCCAAGCGCCTGCGCTAAGGTTATAGCTTCGCGGAGGTAGAACCAACTTTGTCGAGCATTGTGCAATTCAAAGTGGGTCACTGCTACAAAGAAAGACGCAAGGAGAGAGAGAAGAGTGTTGTCCTCGATAAAACTATATCCCGACCGCACCGCATGGCTCTTTGCGATGAACATCCGCGCGACTGATGCCCATTCTCCACACCCGAGGATGGATTCGCTGCGGCCGCACAGGAACGAGGTGACCAACGCGCAAAGAGCAAATAACATCGTTTGTTCATTCGGCTCCATCGGTCGGCTAAGCCATTCTACTAGCGTGGATGGCCTGAAAAGAGGCATGATCGGGTACATCTGTTGTAGAAAGATGTCCACACAGCGTCGCATTAGGAGTGGCAAATTTTCCGGAGCTAGGATATCTGCCCCTAGTTCGCAAGCATTATGATGGTCTTGACTGACATTCGATTGAGCATATCTCAGTGCCTCTATCTTCTTTCCACGGCCATGTTTCGGACCGCGTCGTTTCCGCACATATTCGCGGCTGCAGGCAAGCCGGGTCCGCTGGCAGGAGCTGCAAGGCAGCAGCCCGTCGCACCGAACTCGCCGTTGGCGGCATGGGTCGCACGGTATTTTCTTAGATGAAATTCTGGCTTCGTTCGTGATCTGTTCCATCAGGAAGCTGAATACTGCGGGGTACTAACTAACCGGCAAGCATTCCGGTAAGTTAGTAGTCCGGTCACCTGACTCACCTCTGTTTTCCATCCCAACTTACGCAGGTTGACGGTAAAATAGTGGCTAAAAACGGCAATCGGTTCGGGTCGGGGTTAGCGGGGAGCCTGATCGACTCTCAGAACCTGAACAGTCTGGACGGCAATCTGGGGGGCCTTAGAATCCAACTGCTGCCCCAAACGCCCAGAAGAGCCTGATAACAAAGCAGAGAGGCAAGAGACTGTTTTATTTGTAATGTTATAAGTAAACTTGCTGTAATTGGTGTTAATGTTACAATGAGAAGTATCAAAGGAGTACAGTGTCCAATAATGGAGGCTGGTGATAGAACTCCCAGTGAGAATAGAAAGAGTCAGACTAACAGCAAGAGACTAGCAAAGTATGCCTTCAGGACACTGTTGCCGAGGTATTGTGAAGTACTTGGAGATAGGTTGGCCTCTTATACCGAACTCAGTCAAGCGATATAGAAGTCTGTATACAGTATATATTAGGCAATGGTAGTTTCTGATTTCGTTCTCAACCCTAAGGACACGCTAAGCATATAATATCTCCGGCCTAGAACTGGAAGAAGCTGCTTTATCTACTAGAGGACTCGTTGGAAAACGTTTCAAAAGTTTTCAAAAACGCTGAGAGTATCGGCATGAACAGGAGGGAGAAAGATAAAATACTACAAGAGGTTGCGTTTTGTAACTGCTGCTAGTGCTGTTTCAGTGTCTATAGTATAAAAGTGCAGTTACCTCTTCGCTAAGTAACAATGTGAATGATTATTCTTATGTGTAAAACTATGCTTCTGTTCTCTTATAGTACCAAAAGGTTCTTCCCAAAACTGGTTCCACTGTCTTCATATTTTCCAATTGTTCCTGAAGCATTGATTAGGCTATTTTTGTGGCTCGCCGTAAAGCCCATTGTGATAGATAGTCTACGGGGATACTCTCGATATAGAACATACAATAGGAGGGATTTATTCCCTGGTGGCGTCCTGCCCAACTACCAATCCTCCGGGTGCCCTTTGGAAAGTGCAGTATATTACATACTCTTTTGCAGATCTGCACCATCCTGCTGCTGACCGACCGGGGTTGTCTGTCATTCCGGCTGTGCCATTGGCGCTTATTGGGACTCTTCTCTCAGGGGTCAGAGGTATTGTACTATTTTTATTGGCTCCGCAATATAGATGAGGCTGCGTGACACGCAACTAACAGGTGCTACTGGTCCGGTAGATGTGCTATCATAAACTACTCTTTACTGCGACTATCTCCAAAGTTGAAACCTGCTCTATTGATGTTTCTACAACCGTCACGCTGACCCACGATTAAGACGAGCTCGAAATAAGGTCGGCTTTAAGTTCAATTCAGCGTAGTAGTCATATCGTCCCAAAAGACCTCTGACAAAACAACACGATGAATACGATAGCTTCCATTGCCTACTTGTCCCTCTGCCTATTTCTTATGAATGGAGAAAAAGCTCAAATCCACTGTCACTTGTAGTCAAGCATCTCCATATCTTTTTCAGGAGCCGACACCAATGTATGTAAGATTATAGTGGACCCTGCGAACTAATCCTATTCTGGTATCTAAGATGCAAGGCTGAGATTCTTGCCAAACAAGCGTCGGTAGTTCCTGGTGCGCTATTTCTACTACTGGTCAGATCACGAATATGAATGCCAAGCACTGCCACTATTATAGCGGAGACGCTTGTTTGCTTCGTATCCTTCCCAATGCGGACATCCCGGAATCCAGAGTTTCCTGCCAGCCCCATTATGGAGTCCTACTATGATAATCATACCTGGGTGATATACACTACAAGGCTCAGGAGACTCTACTCCGTATGATAGACACCCAATAGGGTTACCAGGTAGCTAGGGGTTTCCGGATATTGTTAGACCTCATTGTAGCAAATCCCAATCGGCCTTTGCAAGAGGTGTCATGGAAGTACTCCAACAATGCAAGGTGAGCTAGATCGTCCAAGGGTTCTCTCCTTTCGGACACCATATGATACATGCTTTGATAATTCAGGCGCCCACCGTGGAGCCCGAGACAGAAAGGCTCAAGAATTGATCCATCAAGAAAGAGAAAGAAGGCACGAAAATTATTGGGGTGGTCTCAGGATGGGGTGGGCGGAGCGATATCTTCGAATATAAATACTTGGGAAAATCTCGTTGTTCTGATGAAATTCACTAAGCTCGCAAGGCATTCCTATATCACAATCATCTCCTACTATATTTATCACTTTCAAACAAAACCCAATCTCTCTGCCACCATGGTTCAACTTGCCGCTCTCTCTGTAGCCGTCTTGGCTTCGCTTGCCCCTTTGGCTGCCGCAAAGAATTGCAAGACTGGCCTCAACTACTGTGGCTTTGTCCTCACTAGCATTGGTACGTCGCTTTACCTCTAAAAGAAACTCAGTCCTCTTTTTTTACGAGTCATCAGGTCTCCTAACGTGGTTCTTCGTGTCAGGAAATTACGACTCTCAAATTGCTGTGGCTTTGCAGGCCGCAAACCAACCCACTGATGATCTTCATTTTCGCGAATCTCTCTTCCATTGCAACGGCGGTGGCAATGGCGATATTTCGTTCTCGACCTACTGTGATGGTGGTTGCCAGGATGGGGGTTCTGGGAACAGTGATCACTGTTAGATATTCCTGGGAAAGCCCGCTCAGATAGCAGGAGATTCAAATATTGCCGAGAGACAGGGTGGGCTATGCTGACGCAAAGATGTATTTCTGTCCGAGTGGTTACATGAGGAGGTCCATCACCATGTTATCTAAACATTTCGTCTGTCGTTACAAACCACAAGAAGCTTCTTCCATTGCATATCCAACCCGTAGCACACACGTAGTACTGAAAGTCAAGCCCATCGCACCATCTGCAGTGACACGACCCTTGTAATGGATCTATGCAATTGATTGGTTCACCACAGTTCCTTGCTCAGGGAAGCCACATCGTTGCATTTTCAGTTCAGTGGACTCAAGTGGATGAGATGAACATATATAGCGGGGCCCTTAGCTTGTCCATGCATAAATGGGGGTGCGCCGCCAAGATTGGTTCACTCTGTGATCCTGACGTGCCGTTGCTACATTTCTCGCGATATTAAGACTACTCAGGCTTATTGGGGATGTCTGTATCTCGAAATGACCTGATATATTTATTTACAACTGTACGTAGGTGGAGCGGAGACTTGAGTTTGGAGTGAAGGAATAGTAAGCAGATGCTAGCCAAGATCCTTTCAGATACTCATATCGCGGAAACAAACTCATTTCCATGCTTTGTGTTTTATAGTCGACCAGGCTAATTACCATAGAGATTGTAGAAAGACACGGCGTGTATATAAAGCCGTTGTTGCACTTAGCCCGTGTGGCATATACCTAACTACCGTCCAAGGGTCTGGAGACTGTCCACCTGCGGTTAAATGAGCGAGCGATGCGTATTCCCTCTCACCTCATACAACAGGAGGCAGTTATTCAGAAGCCCTATCCCCGTTTCTTCGTGTTCATCGTCGCTTTGGTTACGAGGAGATTGGCCCAGTATTATGACACCCGGGATTTGAATAGCTTCAATGGTCATACAGTTGGGCGTGAATCCAGTTATATCATAGAACCTCTATTTGAACGAGATTGAGTGACCACGGACCCTTTTCCCTTCTAAAAGATAGTGCGAATCCAATCTGTTACAAACATGGGGACACTTTTAGATAAGGTTCACCATTGCTAATGATTGGGTCATACTCCGATAATATGATAGATATGCCGTCTTGATCTGTAACAATTTTTCACTTGTCAATGCAGACATGGGAACGTAGGGAATACATCCATTCTTCATACCATTGTAAGTGAATACTGCAAATTGACTTAGTATTGATCATATCTCTGTAGCATTGATCTCCCTGATCCTTCTCTACCATGACCTCGAATCAGCTCGCCTTATTATTCTTGCGTTCGGCTTACTTTCGCCTTAATTTTCCACCTCACATTTTCTTTTAGTTATTGTGACGTTCTCATATAAATTACTGACTATGACCTCACTCCTAGCTACTGATTGTGAGTCGGTCGTTTCGTCGACCTCCGCTACAGAACCTGTTAGCACGATGAGCATACATCGCCCTTTATCTGGTCTGCCCCGTAACTGTCGCACGGAGACTTTTTCTAACTGGAGACGACTATCAACGGCAATAAACATGGTCTACGAACAGCTAGTTGAACATCGCGGAGAAGGAAACCAGTGGATTGTTGTTTTGGGGCTATCACGCAGTGCAATCCAGCGACTAGGCGATGAAAGGTCGCGCGATGGGATTTCCTTCAGGTTTGAGCACGATGGCAGCACTGGGATTATTAAAGTCCCCGGCCTTGGACATGAAATCACGACGGACCGAGTGAAGACAAAGATCAGCTTTCTCATGTTGCGCATGGGGATTGAAGACCAATACTGGGTGGCTGCAACGAGGTACCAAGACACTGGCGGTAGTAAAAGTAAGGAAGGTGACCAGGGATTCCTGCCACCGGCTCGGCAACCTGTGGGCACATTGGCAACAGGTGTCTGTCCGTTCCCGACTCTCGTCATCGAGACTGGGGTATCTGAATCACTCCCCAAGCTTAGGGAAGACACACTCTGGTGGTTCAACCATTCAAGGGGGGATGTGCGTATTGTTCTTGTTATCTGTATCCGGAAACGTGTGCGGCAGCCGGTTATGCTGATTGAGAAGTGGCAGTTGGCGCCTCCGACTCCTAGGCCACTTACAAGGGGAGGTATTCAACAGCTTCAACAGCAAGTGCCATATCCCATGCCACCCCGAATTCAGCAGCAGCCGGGTAGTCAATATGCATACTGTGCCCAGTCTATCGAAGTTACGCCCCAAGACCTTACCGGTCCATCACTTATTCTTCCCTTTCTCGCTGTTTTCGGCCGCCCACCAGTCGCTCCAGAGGCCGACTTGATACTGACTACCGCAGTGCTTGCGTCGTGTATCCAGCACCTTTGAAGTTAGCAAATTGTGCTTTGTGATCTCGCCTTCAAATATCTAGTTGAGCATTTGACTCTGTTTACAATCATATATCTCTTAACACTGCCATGAATTGGGAAAGACTTACCGCAGTATAAACAATCGTAGATATCGTTTCCATGGATGATAGTTCTAGACTAATGTTGGTTTGTAAGGATGCCGGGTTCTTCATGCAGTATGGATTGAATTTGCGTGAGGGCGCAAGTGGTAGCCCCCGATGAGATGCTTTCGAGGTATATATATGCATGCAAACGAGTATCTCCTCGCTTAAATCACGTACGCCATGCAGGACAGGGCACCCGGCACACAGTGTACAAGTGGTAATCTTTCCCCAGAAAAAGTAAACACGATTGTTGCCTTCCTTTCTGAGGGTGTCAGTCTGTCTGTTGTGGGAACGGACGGATTTTGGTGATCAGGTTGGTTGTGTTCTTCGTTCATTGAGATGTCCCAAACGACGAAACCTCTTCGGCGTGGTCAAAACCTCGGCGTCAATTTAAAGTTTGTACATGATGAAGGTCGCTCATCGCCAGGGAGGGATCATATCCGAATTCCGCCCATTTCTTTCTTCTGACCGGACCCCATTCCCGCCAGCATTCCGTGTTCCCCTCAAGTCGTAACCCAGGCTATCCATTAATCCTGTTTAGCTGAACTATCCAGGAAGTTCAGCGGGAGCAAGAACTGGCTACCACTTGACAGCGGACTTGAAAAAAATCGACAAAAATAATAACTGTACTGGACTTAGATATAGCAAAGATATTCTGGTATATCATAGCTATATATACTTATTTTCTTCTTTCTAATGTCAGAGCGTCAAGAAGTCTGTACCGTAACGGGCTTCCGAGATACCTAAGTCGATATCAGTCTCACAGCCGCAAATACCGGACGTTCAGTGCACCCATGGAGAGAATTCAGAAGTCGGTTGAACCCGCCCTATGAAGATAATGGTAGCGTTCGTAGTCATATGCGTTTCACTCGTGGGCTCCATCCAATATCTGCAGCCCAACTATTATGAGATTTGATTCGGCTAAGGTCCTTGACCATGTGCGGAAAGAAAGCGGAAGCGGAAAGAGTACCCACTACACTAAAAGATAAACTGTTTTGCATTGACGGTTCTACTACTAGTAGGAATAGCGCCTTGAAAGCTAAAGGCTATTAGCCTTTGGCAAGTGAGCGGGGTTCGGAATTATGTTTCTTACCAGAACCCCATCTTATATCCGCACTCTAGAAGACCGTCGGGATTTGCTTCGGGCACTGCTATATCATGCATCTATGATCTGGCCGTTGAAAAAGGAACTGACACCTACCATGCCTTTCAGGCTGACATAAATCTTGCTATTCAATCAATCACCAAATTACTCAAATATGGCTCCTGTTTGCGTCGGCACAGTACAAGCCGAACCGGTTTTCCTCAACCTCGACGGTTCCATCAACAAGACCATAGACATTATCCGGCAGGCCGCCACAAAAGGCGTGAAAGTCTTAGCCTTTCCCGAGGTTTGGGTCGGCGGGTATCCCTGGTACGATGTCCCTATATCACTGCACAGGGTGAGCTAATTCTTATGGATGAGGCCAATCTGGGCAAAAAATGCATTCGAATCATCCGAATTCTGTGCAAAGTACATTGCACACTCTCTCCCCAAGGATTCCACACATATGCGTCGCATCCAAGCCGCCTGTAAGGAGTATTCGATATTCGTGGTCCTAGGCTACAGCGAGAAAGACGACGCAAGTGGAAGCATCTATATCTCGCAGGTAAAGCACCAATCAGACAACTGTATTGCGTACCGTGCTAAATAGCTGTCCCCCTGATAAGGCTTTCATTAGCTTTACTGGCGAGATCCTCCATAACCGCCGCAAGATCAAGCCCACGTATGTTGAGCGTTGTCTGTGGGGTGACGGGCAAGGCGACTCACTCAAGTGCGTGGTCGACTCGCCCTTTGGAAGAATCGGCGGTCTGAACTGCTGGGAGAACCTGCAGCCCCTGTTGCGGTACTACGAATATTCACAGGGTGTCCAGATCCATGTCGCGGGATGGCCGTCTTGCCCATCGGTTGAGAAGCTTGAAGTTCCCTACCCGTACGGGTGTACTAGCGAGGCTTGCCTACGGATCAGTCAGATGGTGGCGCTAGAGGGCCAAACATTTGTACTATGCTCCACGGCGATTCTGAGTAAAGAGAAGCACGAGATGATGGGACTTAAGGATAAGGGAATCTTCCATGAGGTATGAAGGTCTTGCGTCGTAATTGCGTGCCGGTGGAACGAGGTATGTGCTAACAGGTTGTGATTACTAGGATGATGGTGGTGTGGCCATGATCTTTGGCCCTGATGGCCGGCCATTGGCCGAGCCTTTACCACGTGGAGAAGAAGGGATCTTGACAGCTGTAATCGACTTGGAGATGATCCATGCGGCGAAGAGTCTGTGCGACCCAGTTGGACATTACTCTCGTCCAGATCTGCTGAGCCTCAGGGTGAATTCGGTGAAGGCCGAAGTAGTGCACCACGACTGAACAAATTACGGGATAATTTGTGAACAGATTCGGTAGCATATCGATATGATTGGAGTAGGGTTCTCATCTAGTTGTCTTTTTCTTTCAATTCACAATCCCTATATCAATCTATCCTTTACCCTTCATTCGAGCCTTGTATCTTTTCACACTGGAAGGCATACGGCTCCTTTGGTATATTCGGCCATATTAGCTTGCTCCTAAGTTTATTATCTCACATCGAGGGACAGTAGTGGCGGAAGTAATAACTAGTATCGATGAATGGCAGCTTCTTTGAATATAGCGTAAACTGATCAAAAATCTGGTGTACTTATTTATACCTTCCGAACAAGGGGTTCTCGCGAAAAGAAATTATAAAATGAATTTGGGGCCAGAAACTATTTAGACTAGCTGAAATTCTATATCGCGGTGATGCATGATTTTACTGCTTGTGAAGCGGACTTTGATCGTAAATCTAGAGGCTTTGTGATATGCTTTTGCCCTCGATTAATTGAAGGGAATGCGGAGTGGCCGCTACTAGTTATAGGCCCGCGTTCTTGACTTTCTCTATGAGTTTAGTGGCTTGGCGGGCAGCTTAGTTAAGTGTACAACAGGACATCAAACCTGAACATGTAATCTTCATTGCTTTTCACTGCTTAACATTCGATTCTGATTAGGTCTCTATATTTATCTACAGAGGAGGAGAAGGAAATTCCTCTCGCGATGCTCTTCCAACTACAATCTCGCACGATCCGATGCCTCCAACAATGAAAGCCCCGTAATCTTCTCCAACTCCTTGACAGCGTCCTGGGTCCGTCCCAGATTCACCTTCACCGTCCTCATCCCGGCTTTCTTACCGCCCTTCAGATTCTCCCCGATATCATCAAAGAAAACAATGTCCGACGCACCAACCTCCCTCAACCCCTTCTCCCGCGCCAACCGGTTCATCTCCCGAATCGCAAATTCATAGATCTTCGGATCCGGTTTCCTCAGCCCCGTATGCGCCGACGAGATGAAGAAATCAAACTGCCCCTTGACGCCACTTTCGTCTGCATTGTACGGATGCCCATCGGGAAAAACCACCGTATTCGACAGCGCGCCCAGAATAAATTTCCCCGAGGCCTTTAATTTCTTCAACGCAGGCGCCATGTAAGGGTCCGGCGTCCGGGATACCCGCATCATTTCCCAGAAAAGGAACTCCGCGTCCAGCTGCGGGAGTGGGGGCAGTGGTGACGGAACACCGGTAGTAGACTGCTTTTTCCGAAGCGTTTCGTGGAATTTCTTCCATAGATCTGGGTTGCTGAGGTCTTTATTGAATGCTTTGAAGAAGTCGGCGTCGAGTTTGATTTCGCCGCGTTCTAGGCGGTGCCAGCTGCCGTTGGGCGAAGATCGCGAGATACTGAAGTTTACCCACCCGGGGGGGATTTTGTTGGCGATCTCATAGTCGAGGATAGCTTGGAATGGGGAGACGACCTGGTTTAATCTGTCAGTGATGGGGCTCGTTCGTCTTTCGCGGTTGGTATAGAGGGCGTACGCAGACTCCGCCAATGTCGAAAAGTAACCCTGCGGGCTGTGTGGTTTCTGCCATGGTGCTTCGCTGGTGGAAAGACGCGTATGGCTGGTATGTTTGTGTGACTAATTTTCTTTCGCGAAGGCTTTTGCTGTAAGAGTAGGAGTCAATCGCCGGGGATGGGATTTGTAACGTGTATGCGGAGAATCATTGGGTTTGGCTGATGCACTGATTAGATTGCCGAGGTTAGATTGAGTTTCTTATCGGCCAAGGATCAAAGACCGAGGAAGAGCTACTATATCCACTAACACAACAATTATAATTTCCGTGTACTTGGATTCAATTAAATGTTTAGTCATACAGGTTGCACTTCCTAGTAATTTTATTACAGTCTCGCGGCAGATATGAAGTACTAATTTGCTTCATTATCCAACACTCTGGCTACCATAGCAACAGTGTAGAGTATGATGCTTTCGGTCATCAGACAAAACATGAATGTATTCACAACAGTTTAAATCTAGTAGCAATAGTGCAACACACGACGATGAATGCGATAAAGCAACCCACAATCCCAAAAAACCATGCCAGTCCAGGCACATCCTGACCAGGGACAGTAACGTTCATTCCAAAAAGACCCGTCACCATGTGCAGAGGAACGAAGATTGTGGCCAGGACAGTCACCTTGCTGAGGACTTCGTTGATGTTCAGACTCAGGCGTAGGTTATTGGCACTGATCTGCGCGAGGCAGTTTGACTGCGATCGACCGACGATCTCATCAAAGTGCGACAGACTCGACATAGTGGTTACGAGATGGTCCTGCACGTCGCCCAGATACATGATTAGATCACCATCGGGGAAGACGGGCTGTTTGTCTTTGGCCTGGCACCGCTTGACGAAGCCATTCAGGACGTCCACTTTGCCGCTCAGAGCGCGGATAAGATACGTGACCTTTTTGCGGAGATTTTCGGCACGAGGGATGAGGGATCTAACGTCGTCTACACGAGCGATAAAGACTTCATCCTCGATGGATTCGGACTCACGTTCAATGGCTTGCAGGTACGGTTCGAAGCTGTCGATGATATCGTCTCTGTGCAACAGTGTTAGGGACATATCGAGTTCATGGAAAGCATGAGACATACATTAGCGCATAACAGACCCAATCACCCGACAAGATGGCTGGATCGGGGTGTCGGCGGATTCGATCTCTCACCCGGGTTATGTGTCCATTCCCGCTAGGCGAGAAGGTCACCGCCCCATTCTTGAAGACGAGGATGTAGCACCCTGCAGAGGAAGGTGTTGATGAGACAATGCTTGCCGGAGACTTAGGTGTATCGTTCTCTTCCTTTTCAACGGCAAAGTTCACCAACGTCTGAAACGAGATTAGATAGTAGTTCCGAAAGACCTCGACCTTCTCTCGTGGCTCGCGCATAGTGACATCCTCTGCCGTCAAAGGATGGATCGACAGCACCTGAGATACGAAGTCGACATCCTGCTCGGTAGCATCGCTAATGTCCAGCCACCAGACATCCCCCTTGGTCCTTTCGCTCTCCTGCAAGTGCTTGATGAACTGGTCGGAGAAGATATCCGCCCAGTTGGAAGAGGAAATGACCTCTTGAGTCTGCGAGGAGAAATAGCTGAACCGTGGAACCTTCTCGGAATGCATTTTCAAAACTCGAAGCGATGCTCTCTTGATGACGCTTTAATCATACTTCGATACTCATCTAGGAATTATCTGTCGGGCCCGGTACAGCTGGGGACAACAGCGAAGGTGCAGCAAAGTTAACCCATCGAAAACTGACAGACATCGAATAGGTTTGAGGTGGAACCGAAGACAATATTGCAAAGATTTTCATGTAGGAATGCTGGATACGCAACAATTTCATCAAGGCTAATGGTGTATGTTTAGCACTGGTAGAATCCTACACTGAGAAGGGGGGGGGAGAAGGAAAATAAAGGGTTGGGAAATGACAGGGAAGAAAATGGCCCTAAAAGTACAGGGGAAGAAAAAAATGGAGCCGTGTGAAGTGTGGTTACATGCAGGAATCCGAACTTCCGACTTGGTTTTTCATGGCATTCATGACATCCTCGATTACAGTTGATTTTTTTTGCTCGGGTACATTGCCACATCATTGATTAACTACAAGGAATGATGGTAAAATTTGCTGCTGTTCACATTCCATCCTCCAGAATATCAAGTTTCCGCGTATAATATTATATATCGAATCTTCGTTTCATCAGATCAGAACATCACAATGTGGTTGCCTACGAAGGATCCCGGCATACAATTTTAATCCAGCAAAGCGAGGTGACATTCGGGACTCGGGAAGACTCCGTCTCCCCCGTTTGGGGTAACCAAGTGGGTCATTTAATCTGCCTTATAGGGCTGAGTGTACACAGTGCACCAGGTAATGGGTGAACCGGAGTCAAGTGGAATATGCGAAGTACTCTGTACAGAGTAGTACACGAATCAGATGTATTGCATGCTTAATTCGTTGTTCGTTGCTGAGTTGGAGGACAGACATCGTGCATGGATAGAAAAAGTGTAAAACTCTGTAGTGCTGCTTGGCTGTGGAGACCAAGAATGTCGATGCCTAGTTGAAGTAAGGGGGACCTTGGGGTAGCATACTGCTTGGAAGACATAGAGGCTTGTTCCTCGAAGATTTTGTAACCAAGCTAATGCTAGAACTTGATATTGTTGATTTTGGTTTCACAAGTTAAGTTATACCTTAGAACTAATCATGTCTACTAGTACCAGTAGAGATATCATGGATGGGCCGAGAGCAATACAAGGTTTCCTCCCTTCAACCGAACCTAATATAACTGTGTTCTCAATTTAGATTTAGACACCACAAGCCCCGTAGTATTTATACTAGACCCTTTCCAATAGATGTACGTTTGCGAGGCTCACTGAGGATTGTTAATGATCCATGGACAAGCTCTTCTTTCAGACCCTGTGTCACATCGCTATACCATTGGTCTACTGGCTTAACTTCGATGGTTGTGTATTGAGCTTGGTTCTTATTTTAATCCAGCTGTCACCTTTGAGTTTCACCGGGAAATTCCATTTAAATCAGCATCTTGATCACCTGGAAAATAACCCTGAAGCGCGAGACTCCGAGAGAGCTCTCGAGGAGCAAAGCTCCTCCATTTTTCTGACCGACACGTGTCCAAGGCAAGTATTTGTTGGATCGATTGTGGTTAGCTGGTTGAGCCCTGGATCAAGACCCCCCGAGCCCACGATGCAAAAAAGCAACGTGTTTGTGACAAAAATCCGGTATTGGGTGTAGAAGGCTGTCACTTGCGCGATCTGCGGCTGGGACCTTAAAGTAACTTCGTTCGGAGATGACAAGTATGAGCTGATATTCCCCTAGCAAGGAGACATGCTCGCTAACTAGGCACAGGAGGTATGCGGGATGGTGGCTCAAAATCAGAAACGGACGTTCGACGAGCGCCCAGCGCGCTCTTTCGAGCTTGCATTTGACTGAGTCCTTGTCATATTTAATGATGTTGTACATTTTTCGAACTTTCGTGGCAATGCAGGGTATTTATCATTAAGTCAGAGAATCTGCTGGACCCACATAATCTCTTCGCTCTGTTGTGTACGAATGTGTCAAGGAATCCGTATCCTGCTGGCTATATGCTTTCCACGCTGCCAGCATACCCGACGTTAATCGTGAAATCACCCTTAGTAGGAGATTATCATGATAGACATGTTTGTGTCACCTTGATGGCTGCCAGGCGGCTGAATTGGGCAGAATGATAGGCGACGCGCGTAGCTTGACATCTCCTGGGCACTTCACACACAACTAATTTCTATCAGGAGCACTCAAGAAAAATCGCTGTACATCGTCAGACTTCACCCTTGTCCAAGTGCCTGACTCACTGCTCAGTATCATGGAAGCGAGCAGAATAGCGACCAGGGGTGCCCGATGGGCCTCTCCTGGACTTTTTGCTTGGATGCTGTAAGCATTGTCGATAGCTCGACTCGACATTTTACTAATTGTTCATTGCCTCATTGTAGGCTTGTTCATGCAGTGGGACTCTATTTTTTCGCCAAGGGCTTCCTGTTGTCACGGAGAGTGCTGGAGCATTCTAGCACCTGCACCCGGCCTCTACTGCCCGCATTCCCAAGATATGAGTCCTCCCATCTTGAATCTACTCAGAGTGGATGCTGGATGCCCAGATCTTTCGACAAAGCCGTGATTCTGGTTATCGATGCGCTACGATACGACTTCACGGTGCCACCTGCGCCACAGTTATCTGAAAAAAACCTTTATCAGCCTTTCCATAATGCTCTCTCCATACTACACGAGAAAGCAACGCAAGAGCCCCAAAATGCAGTTCTCTTCCCCTTCATTGCAGATCCGCCTACAACAACCTTGCAGCGGTTGAAGGGCCTGACGACAGGAACACTGCCAACATTTATCGAGGCTGGTGCCAATTTTGCCGGGTCCGCACTTTTAGAGGATAATTTCGTGACGCAACTACATAAAGCGGGGAAAAGGCTGGTGCATCTTGGGGACGATACGTGGACAAAGCTATTTCCGAATCATTTCCTATCCAATCTATCTAGAGCCTACGATTCCTTCCTCGTTGCCGACCTCCACACAGTCGACCAGGGCGTGGAAACACACCTTCTACCACTGATAAACCATCGTCAAGATGAATGGGATGTGATCTTTGGCCACTTTTTAGGTGTCGATCACGTCGGTCATCGATTCGGCCCCGCACACCCTGAAATGTCTAATAAATTGAAGGAAATGGACCGCGTTATAGCAGAGGTTGTCAACTCTATCGATGAAAACACGTTACTTGTCGTTCTGGGTGATCATGGAATGGATGAACATGGAAACCATGGCGGTGAAACAGAGAATGAGGTACAGGCGGCGTTGTGGATGTATACTCGGCGCAATCATTTTGGTCATTTACTGGTGCATCCACAGGAGCCGGCCTCGTATCTTAAAAAATCAGCCGTCTATCAAATAGATCTTGTACCGACCTTGTCGCTCCTTCTGGGAATTCCCATTCCCTTCAATAGCCTGGGGAGTCCTATTAAAGAGGCTTTCCTTGGAGCAGCCGGAGATAACTGGGGGCAACTGGTGCGTTCATACATGCTATCGTTTGCACAAATCGAACGATTCCACCGAGAATACTCGATAAGAAAAGAGAATGTACGGCATGCTGTAGTGCACAATCATACTAGCTTCCCTCATAGTGCCCCTTGGCAAGGGCTTGATTTTGAGGACAAAGAGTCTCTGAAGACCTTATACCACGAATTGTGCGACTACCAAGGAAAGATCCTGGAGCATTACAAACGCATATGGGCACAGTTCAACATGGCTAACATGGTAGAGGGGTTGGTAGTCCTGTCATTTGGAGCGGTTGCACTGTTACTTCGTGTCTACGCGTGGGACCAACGCAATTCCGTCCCTAGGGCTTCTTCCAGTACAATCACGATAGGGGCTGCAACGTCCATAGCCACTTATTTAATCCATATTGCTGTATCAGAGCCAGAGAAACCTCGCATGACGGATGGACTGATCCTGGGGGCTACGATGAGTAGCCTCATGCTATTCACCTGTCGATTTCATCTGATTGGGATGATCCGGGCACTGATGGAATCTCAGATACCGACCTTCTTGGATACAATGGCGATTACATTTACTATTCTACTCTCTATTGGGTTTGCGTCCAATTCATACACCGTATGGGAAGATCAGATTGTACTAACCTTCCTCGCAACATTTGGCATATGTACCATTTGGATGTCACATAGGACCTTTGACAGAAGAAAGAGTACACTAGGGGCACTGCTCTCCGTCTCATTCATGGTCCTGGTCAGGGTGGTGTCACTAAGTCGTTATTGTCGGGAAGAGCAACTTCCATTCTGCGTGACGACTTACCATCGCCTGGGTAACACCATGGGCTGGAGACTGCTCATCCCGTATCTCATAGCCCTACTCATTCCAATTGTCACTCGAATAGCCTTTGGTTCAGATTTGATATCCCAAAACCGGGGGTTCTCGACATGGTGTCACATTGGAATGCCAATGGCACTTTCCTTCAATGCTGTTTATTGGACCCTCGATTCTGCCAATAAAAATGGTTGGCTTGAAGCCAGATACTTCAACATATTGTCTCAGGGGCTTCGCATTTTCTTTTCCCGGTCCACTTTGGTCATTGCAATTGCTGGCAGTGGAATGGCTCTCACTTCAAAATGGACTACGGCCATGACTCTTGTCCAATATAATATGATCATGACTACATCTGTCTTGGTGGCCAGCATTTTGGTGAGTGGTCCGATGGGAGGTGGTTCCTTGTCCATACTATATTTCCAGATCCTGAGCCTACGCAAGCTCCTCAACCAAACTCGCAACTATACTATCGGACCTACAATTGCTGCACTTTTAGGGACCCTCCACTTCTTTACCACCGGCCATAACGCAACCATCTCCAGCATCCAATGGGAAGCTGCTTATATCCCAGCCCAGGGTCTTCACTACCCTTGGTCCCCGCTGCTTGTTACCCTAAACACATTTGCTGGCCCAATTGTCGCTGCATTTTCGATTCCTCTGATCATAGCACAAGATGGACACTTCCAGGGAATTAATCATGTAGCCAAGTCATTGACAATCCACGTTTTGGTTTACTCGGTATGGGCATTGTCAACAGCAGTGTGGGCTATTATCCTACGACGCCACCTAATGCTCTTTGCTATATTCTGCCCTCGATTCTTGATGGCCGGGGCCCTACTGCTGATCATCGATGTTATCGCGATGATAATTTCATTGATCACTGCCATGAATACTAAATAAGATGATAGGATTTCCAAAGCAATAAAACAAAGAGTCATGTCGGATGACACCTGGTCATCAGTCATTCCCGACAGAAGCGCATATCTCGCAATGACTCTCTGATTGTTGAAAATGGAGAGCCATTCTTGTAGCAGTTGAGTCAGATAAAATGGTCTGCCCAATCTAACCCAAAATACTCATCCAGGAAGCGGCGCATAAAAGCTGGTTGGCTAGCACCAGTGTGTGTAGCATGCCTGCTCGAGAAAAAGCACCTAGTCAGTGATTTGCGCTCCAACTATCAAGAATCGATTCAACTCACGCGACGGCATTTTTCATTATGGCGTCCGCAAGACTATCAATTGCCGTTAGTACGATCCAGGCCGCAAGGCTACGGGAGGTTTCTCTACCTTTAGACACTTATTGTATCGAGTGATGTCGCGGCAAAGCGCCGGGGCAGCTTCAGTGTCCGCCAAAACAGAATCATCCGTCTCCGTCTCTGCAGGAGCAGCAATAGCCAGGGCTGCAAAAAGAAGTGTCAAGGGTATGTATAACTTCATTTTGAAGACAGAAGATGAATCAATAAATTCTTCCAATGGCTGGTAGATCTTGCCTTGAGGTCTCGGTGGTTAGATTGATACAAGATGTCTAGAAGAGACATGAACCCCCATATTTATAGTCAAGGTCTGAAGACTTCCCATACCCAGGCAGGAGGAAGTGCGGAGAAGCGAAAGTGTGAATGTAACATATAAGCTGACACTGTGGCATATCAAATGCAACTTAATGCTCGCAAGCATCTATGTCAATTTATTGGTAAGAGACAATACTCTCCGGATAGCCTAGGTCGTCCATAGCCATCGTTGTGCAGCCTGTCCTCCTGGTAGCCTCCAATCACAATACCTCCGAGCCAATACGGAATGATATCAGTAGTAAGTGGCATCACATGTCACAGTTTCCCCCGCCTCAGCATTAAATGTATTTCTGGAGAGGCTTTCTACGGTATGAGCTAGGACGAACGGCGGCTGGATCTATAGCAGTTCAAGTTTCGTTCAACTGTGTTTCATACTGCAGCAAAATGGTCGGGGTAACCCGATGATCTGATTCATCACTCCAAAAGTTTCAAAGTGTCTCTCCATCGGCCCACGCCATCGACTCGTCGACATTGAACGATGTGTCACCGGTTCGAGGAGCATCGGGGTTCACCGTCAAAATACGGGTAGCATCACCATCTCTTCTATCGAGCCTTGGGCACTTTTGATAGACACCAAGAATGACCAGGCAACTTCGACTCGCTTGCAATGCAGCTGGTCCTTGGGTGGACGCCGCTATTTTCCCACAATGTTTACTTCTACTCTTGGTCCAGATAGTGTAAGGCATAGTAGACTTACAGCTGGTACACTTCCCGGAGGTGACAGAGCCCTTAGGGATTACAGACTACTGTTTGTTTGATACTTCCACAAGCGATCGCCTTTTCATGGTCGTAATGGTTCTTTCACTAGGTGAAAAGAACCCTTTCACTTGTCTACATCCGCCCCTCGGTGGTGTACAAAGGGCTCACTCTGAATGCTTGCTCGTACGAGATGACGGCGGATACTACCTTCGGACGGTATATGCCGCCATGGGTTTACGATTACATATCATATGATAAAAGCCAAGGTGTGACAATATCGTATATATATTCCTCTTTGTGGGGCAAGAAGTTGTATCATTATATAATTTCAGGAGAATAGTACAGTAGTATTCATGATTAGGCCCATTCAACGGATGATAATTTGTTAACCCCACATAGGAAAGCCGACGATCAAGAATGGACTCGAATGAAAAGCGAAGAACCACAGCCACTTCATGAAGACCCTGGACTGTAGTTGAATCTAACATCATGCGCGGAGAATTTTCTACTGGTTCCTTCCCCTATAGTGAGACGAACCCAACGTTGTGGCACAAATGTTACCCAATGGGATAAACGCCCCTGGTGACAATCCGAATTATGGTTGTATCATCTCACTGGATTGTGGCACCTCTATGTCTCACAACGTTGATGTCAGCCTTGTTCGCTCACAGCGTTCAATCACGGCCCTCGGATTTCAAGCACAGAGTTCGGTTTACTCCCATACCCCACACTTCTGGTGTACCCTAAAACGAGCTAGAAGTGGCATCCACACAGCCTACTGCATGTCAATCACATTTCGGACGCAGACTCCGATTCTCCCTAAGATAGTTATAGGTTCAGTTGCATTTCTATTCAGTAGGAAAAGTCACTGCTGTATATTCTATCATGATCCGGAGGTCATTTCCAGAACACAATAGCAACGCTACCTATCCTTCGCTTTGCAATGGCTGAAATCTCACACCATAGATGGGCCGCATCTAGACTCGCTCTCCCCGATCCCCCCCAAAAAAGAAGAGAAAATAGGAAAATGCCGGTTCATGTTACAGTGACCTCAGGCAAGGATCCGATAACAGATCCTTTGTTGATTCTCTCTCCTCCAGTCACCATTGAGGCATCTAACGCATAAATCTTCCAAGAAATCGATGTTGCCGTCTGATGCAGGGACCACCGTTACGTAGCTTTAAAGGTTTACACGGCGTCAATGACGGTGACCCGAGAGAGTGAAATATACAATCATTTAAGTACTATCCAGTCCAGCCACGCGGGTCAATCATGCCCGCGACCGTTGATTGAAATCTTTCAGGCCCAGAGTCCAGGTAGAGAAAGTGTTCATACTTGTCTAGTGCATCCACCTCTTGGGATTAGCCTCGACCAGCTCACCCGGCTGCTGCCGGATAGGGTTATGAGCAGCGCCATGGTGAGAACTACTATCCGGAATATACTTGCTGCTCTAGATTTCCTCCCCACAGACGCACGGATAATACATATCGGTTGGTACCAGTTCTTCAATAAAGCCCTCACCGCGTTAGGGTGAATAGGAGGTAAAAACTGATAGTATAGATCTCCAACCAAATAATATTCTCCTCAGCATCAAGGGCCACTCAATTCTATGCGACTTCGAGCAATCAGACTTTGAAGCGCCTGTGCCACGGAAGACCCTTGAGGATTGTATCATTTATCTGCTCGCAGCGAACGGAGTCTCCGCTTTTGGGATGAAAATGGTTTGTGCAGCCCTTTCCGACGAATAATTATATACATGTGGATATAACTTTGGCACTGACAATTCTTGATTTTTCTATTTCAGGTAAATGGAAAGGCCCAACTCCTGTTCCAGATTACAACCTCGAGATTTTGGAAGAAAGACTGCAAGGTGATGAAAAGGGTGACTTTCTACGCTTTCTCCAACGAATGTTATGTTGGCTACCAGAAGAAAGAGCCACCGCAAAAGAGCTTTTATTTGATCCTTGGCTCATGCATGGCCTTTTCAAGTGAAACTAGGATGGTTACTGAGCATAAATTCTGCTATAGAGGGCTGTGTCCAGACAGCAGGTAATTCATTATTAAATGGAACAGTTCGCGATCAAACACAAGACCTTAATTGTCCAGATGAACGTACAATGTGATTCGCTACCCAAGTAAAATATCTCATTCAAAGTATATATAACAGTGTGATGGAACTGGCAAGATGAACAGATACTAGAGTACATGCGGGAAATGAGAGGTACAAATGAGAGCCTGTTTACTCATTCCATCCACACTATCAAGCCTGTATCCCAGCGGAAAGTCCGTGACTCAGCAGCATGTCACCGCTGTCTACCCAGTTACCATGCAGACCCTGGCGCAGTCGGACTGGCAATTTAATGGTCGAGCGAGCCTTCTTGAAATCTCTCAAATCCAGAAGATGCAGCTCACTACTCATCGAATCGTAGTTGTTGATCAATGCCAACAGATAGCCGTCTCCTTCCACATCAGACCCAGCCCTAGGAATGAAAACAGGCTCTTGAACCAAATGGTTTCTTCCAGGGAAGTATACCTCAGTCTTGCCCGTCCGAAGATCAAGATGTGCAAGGGCATTGTAAAGCGGGTAACCACCGCCAAGCCGAGGCTCGATAGCCTGGAAGTCGGTCCCTAGAGATGGATCCATCAGATCAAAGAAGCAGTGTTGATGTTTCTGTGTGCTAAAACGATCATCGATCCGGTAGAATTCGCTGTTGCCAGAGTGTAGGACCTCGGGTTCTGGGAGTCTGTCGACATCTGAGTGCGGATCAATGGTGAATCGGTTCAATTGGGACGCAATCGTGCTGGGCTCGGGGGCAAATCCCTTCCCATCGGGCCACCAGAAGAAGACATTTTGGCGACTCAGACCAAGGTCAAGCACAACGTGACCGTCCTCATTTTCGTATGCATTGAGAGCGTGCCCTGGAAAACAATTATCCCATTGGAGCCACTGTGAGTATTATAAGCGAGGGTCTCTTTTTTTTTATAATGGGAGAAGAACACAGACGCTAATACCTTGACATCGCCTGGCTTTGGGTTACGCCGAGGAATGATTCCAATATAGAGAGGAGTTTCCGGACTCCACTGCCAGTGCTCCCCTCCAGCCCTCATGCGCTCAATATCACAGAGTTGAGGGATAAGTGGGAACAGTACCTATGTAACCAAGGTCAGCTTTGCCAAACACAAGGGTTCTTTGCATTCCACGCACCCAATTCTCGGTGACCGCAAAATCATGAATCATCGCGCACACAGGCGCCACCAGCCAGCAGATATCAGAGAATTTCCCACCCCGTCCAACTTGATAGTAGCAGATATCGGGAGTACCGTCACCCTTAGCCTCATATCCAAAACATACCATTTCGCCTGTCTTCGGATCAAACTTAGGATGGGCTGTGAACGTAACACTTGGTAGTTGTCCTTCAAAATTATAAAGACCCTTGGTGTCCAAGGTATGTGGGTCCATTGCATATGGTGGGGAGTCCTCCTTCAAGGCAAGCAGCTGTCCATTAAAGAAGACAATATTGGTATTAGCTGTGCTGCGGATCTTCAAGCGAACGGCATCGGTGAACTTGTTCCGGTACTTCCCTGTTTAGTATGTCAGTCAAATGTCTCAAGATATTGCCATTGGGCACCCAAATGCCGTTTAAACTTGTGTACTTACCGACGAGGGCCTTCTGGGCTTCTCTTTCCCGGACGAACTTCTCAGTCCGCACGAATCGCTGCTGCCAGGAGACTCTGCCATCCTTAATCCGGAAAGCACTGACATTGCCGTCGCCATTGAACCACTGCTGATGGTGAGAATGGGCCATATCTTTGCAGAGTGGGTATCACCAACTGGATCGTTTTCAATGAACGGGAAGGCCTGGGGATCAGGCATCACCCGAAAGAAAGTTCCATCGATGTCCTTCGGTAGGTCGCCATAGACTTCTAGGTTCTGAGCCTCCCCTTCAAAACGACAGGGCTTCATGAAGCCTGAGAATTGAGGCTTCTCCGGGAAATGCTGGATCTTATTAGACGACATGGCAAAAGCGCTTGATAATCGGTAAGAGGAACAAAGAGGAGAAGATGTGAAGATGATAAAGCGAACTTGATACTAGCGTTTTAGTAACAAGAGGGTGCGGGTTTGGCAAGAAGATGATGGGTTCAAGTTTGTTATTTATATTCACAACAAGCTTTTTCCTCCATGCCGACACAGATGAATCATGAGGGATACAAGTATATTGGTACCAATCACAGTCTGCGAGATGGTCATTTCTCCGGCATTTGAGACGGGAACTGAGGGAAGACTCAAGAGCAAGATGTCCTAGCTTAGGGCAGGGCGACTGACTAAGCGGCCCCGGGGGTACATCGGGCTTCCGTTCCCGTCACTATCAATGCTCCAGGTGAATCGTAACTAACATCCATTTAGCCACTCCAAGCTTTCCTCGGGTCTAAGGCGTCATTGGTTTTCAGAGTAGCAGAGTAGGTATGGATAGACCACTGGATGGCCGATGGTTTCGGACCGGTTGTTAGTTTGCAATCCACGATGCGATGCGACGTCGAATCCCCGGTTTGGCACGGGGGTCGTCTCGCCCACCTTGTGTGTTCCCATCTGGCATCATGACAAATATCTTGAATACTGGAGTTATAAGATACATTGACGACAGGTCCATGCGACCGAGGCCGGAGATTTTTGCGCTCTGATATAAGTCATATAATCATACTCGATTGCGCGTCCGAAATGTCTCGCTAATGTGGACTACTGGTTTCAAGTGGATCCTCAGAGATCACTACAATCTAGCTCTCTGAAGTATCCAAGCTATTTTGAATCTATAAACACCCAAAAATGACCACGGTAGAGCTATATTGATTGTCGATGTCGCTAGTTCTCGCCTTCAATCGAGGGACTGCAAGGCAGGTGTCCTTGGCCCAGCCCATACAATTACACAAACGCCTCGTCTATCGCCTTTTCGGCATCATACCCGTAGGCCCACATCTGCGTCGCCGGATCGCTCCACTGATTCGGACTGTGGGAAAGGGGTCGCCCCTGTGTCTCCGGCTTCATCGCCTCATCGCGAGCTTGCTGGAGGGGCCCATCCGGGAAGTGCCATAGCTGTCCATTAAGCAGACTCGCGTCTTGCATCAGGCGTGTCCTTTTTGCGCGAACTCTCTCAAACACCGCAAGGGCGTCATCAATGGTGGTGCCGGGTGAAATCCTCGACAAGGCTCGCGCGAGAGCTACACCGTCCTCCACGGCCATGGCAGCACCTGGTGAGTTGTTAGGTCACAAACAGATTGAAACAGACCGTGCCTCGTACATACCTTGCGACATATACGGGAGCATTGCATGGGCGGCATCTCCTAGGAGGACGACCTTGCCTAAGGTCCAACGGGAGAGGGGAGTGCTACTCACCAGCGGCCACTTGGCCGTCTTCGTAATGAGTTCGATAATCTTCGTTAAACTGAACGGGCTTAGTCAATCACTCTGCGAGAGTTCAATCCGGTATGTGGCACTATACCGTGGATCCCATCCCGTAAACTCACGTCGCATATCCTGCAACGCAGAACTCTGGTCCCAGGTTGTTGGATCACTTGGGTCCCAATGAGAGAGGACCATATTGAATGACTTGCCTGCTCCAATTGTGTATGTCATGACGTGTCGTTTGTCGCCAATCCTGCGAGTTGGACACCATATCAGCAAGGCTTACTGCAGACTTAATTATTTGACTAACCATATATTTAGAGCTGGCTTCTCAAGTATCCACGCTGTATCGGGATCCTGTCTGAGAAGGCCGACATCTACTGTCGCGCGGTAAGCAGCAAAACCCAAATTTGTAGGCGGCATGTCCAAGTGATCGTCCAGCAACGGTCTAGCAATAGACTTGATTCCTGTATTTTCATACCGTCATGAGTTGCTCGCATCGGAGGGGGTATATGGAGGGAGACTGACCATCGGCCGCCACCACAAGGTCCGCTGTGACGAAGACCCCCCGCTCAAGGCGGATACCCGGCTTCAACGGTTCATACTCACCGACCTTTTCGCCGAGTTTCAGGGAGACACCCAGCTCGACCGCGCGCTGAACTAGCGCAGAATGAAAATCGGCACGGTGAACGACGTAGTACGGTGCACTAAAGTTTTCTCGGAAATCAGGCTTCAGCTTAGTGAAACCAATGATCCCGCCGCTCTCCCAGCGGCGGAACGATATGCTCTCTGGCTCAGATGCGCATTTCGCCAGGTACGGCCCCACTCCTAGCTTCAGAAGCAGACGGGCCGAGTTAGAAGGGATCTGGATTCCCGCACCGACCTACACAGAGTATCAGCAGCATGCACTGAGCCCTGGGTTAGTGGCCGGTAGAAGTACCTCTCCAAGCTCTGGTGCTTGCTCGTAGATCGTCACTTTATGTCCATATGTTGCGAGGGCTATGGCCGTTGCTAGGCCACCGAGACCCGCACCTACAACGATAATGTTCAAGCTAGTTGTGCTTTGAGCAGTGGCGTTCTCTTCCCTCGATGTGTTGAGAAAGTGTAGGCAGTTGCTAGGATACGTTGTGCTCTAACAATATTCAGAATATGTTTCTCTTCTCCAAGGCCCGCGAAAGCAAACTGACCATGGGAGCGGACGGCTGTATCGTCGAGCTAGGCATAATCAAGGATTGGCTATACTGGCCCCTGATCTGTTCCTATTGGTGAGTGTGAGTGCGACGATTATTCCTTTCCCACGATCATAGAGAGGACTACTTTAACATAGAACAGGTATATGCTATGTAGTAGGGACGCACTGCCGACGTTTCCGATGTCTCCCCGAAGCTCTTACGAGCCATATTCCAACAGCAAGCGGGGTTGATATATAGACACAAAAGTCTGAAGGGCTTCGGATCACCAAGTGGCTAAGACCAACACCTGTCCAATTCAGAATATTATTAGCTACCTCGATATGGCGCATTCAAGTGAAAAAGGAAAGAATGGCGACTCGGCGGAGAGCCTGCTCAAGGATCTCGAAGGAAGCAAGACACTCCCTCTCTGGACCCAAATGACCCGCCTCAACCCTCCAAGTCCCAACCCTGTGGCTGTTCCATTTCTATGGAAATATCAGGCCATCAGACCAAACCTCCTACGCGCAGGGAACCTGATCACCGAAAAGCAGGCGGAACGACGGGTGCTCATGCTGGTCAACCCAACCAGAGGTAACTATGTTTCGGTTAAGATCTGCGCAAGCTCTATATGCTTAGTCCTGTATCAGATGCCCCATATACGACAGACACATTGTATGCAGGACTGCAACTGGTCATGCCGAACGAGGTAGCTCCAGCGCACCGACACACGGCGTTTGCAATGCGCTTTATTATAGAAGGCACGGGTGGGTTCACTGCAGTGCATGGCCGGCGCATTCAGATGCAACAGGGCGATGTGATCCTGACCCCCACCTGGAACTACCATGACCATGGCAAGGACGGCTCTGGGCCCATGATTTGGTTGGATGGATTAGATCTTCCGAACTTCCGCCACTTCCCGGTCCACTTTGTCGAGCATTTCAGTGAGTCACGCTACCCTGCGGAGGATGTAGATAGCAGTATGTCACCGATAGTCTTCCCCTGGAAGGTGATGAAAGCAACATTAGATGCTGTACCGGGCGATTGGGTTTCAAAGCGGTACCTACGGTCAGGGGAGCGAGAAGGTGAGTGCATTTGATAGATTCTGCTACAGATCTCTTCTAACAAGTGCCTGCCTGCCGTCTATAGTAAGCCGAGTACTAGGCGGCTGTGCGGAGAGGCTGAATGCAGGTTGTTCTTCTCCTCTGCGGCGCGAGACGACATCTGCAGTTTACCATGTTGTTGCTGGCAGTGGCTACTCTATCATCGGGGAAGAGAAGTTTGAATGGCAGAAGGGGGACACTTTTTGTGTGCCCTCGTGGTATAGATACCAGCACTTTGCTGAAACGGACGAGACTACCTACCTGTACCGCTTTGATGATAAGCCCATGATTGAAGCGCTGGGATTCTATCGCTCGAAGGGCATGAATGTGGAAAGCCTTGTAACTGAATGAATACTGCTCATTCGGGTGAAAGTACGAGATGTACTTAGAATACCACTTAGTTGACTTCTACGTTAAGAAAACTTGCGTGCACAATATATCTATTCAACAAGTCTATGCATTACTTTGAGAGTTTCTATCAGAAACTGAATTTACAAAGTTCGAGAGAAATGAACCCAAAAACACGACCCGTTTATATATATTTTATGGCCCCATATCTGGCGATTGCTCATATCACCGACTTTTCGATTTGGCCTTCAAAAGCCGAGCGCTTCCTCCAGCGATATGAAGATGACCTTCAATAAGATGCAGAAACCCTCTCAGCAGCAGGCGGTGACGGTTTACCTTTCCGGTCTCTCCCCGATGATTCCCGGGCCTTCCCGCTCACCACCCGACACCTCAACCTTCAGATCCTCAACGCCCCCGAGAACCTGAGACTCGCAACGACATGGAGCCACCTGATCACGAGGACGTACCACACCCGGCTCCGGTGGTCAAGCGCCGAAGGGTCGCTCTAGCCTGCGATCCATGTAGAATCCGAAAATCCCGAGTATGTTGTGGTCGTTGGACGCGGTTGAGAGCGACGGATGATTGACTGTTCGCTTCCCAGTGCGATAGTTCTCGACCCAAGTGCTCTTCGTGCTCCCATCTGGGGTTCGACTGCGTGTACACAACCCCAACTTCTGCCTCTAATGTCATTGTGCAAAAGGAGTTGCGTTGTCCCCTCAGCTTATCGTGGCTCGAGTTTCTGACCGCGCATTAGCTATTTACATGCCATTGAATCCCGCCTTAACCAACTGGAGGAGTCCCTATCTACGGTCAAAGATGGACTTAGCGGGCTGTCTTCTCGTGTAAATCAGTGCTGCAATCCGGCACGGGATCCAGACGGACCTGTCAACAATGCACGGCAAGATGTCCCCATACCAGACCTCGCTGGCACGGAAGACTCCGTGGATGCGATGGGTGCCATAACTCTAGCTGAGGAAGAAGACTCTGGATTCTTTGGTAAATGCAGAACACTCCCAGCCGTCCCTTTCCTAGCTCACGGTACCAGGGCCTTCATCCAATGTTGCATTTACACGCCATCTATGTAGATCCATTGGACAACCTGGGGCACCGCAGGGAAGCTCTACAGTACTGCCATTAGACACAACAGCTTATGACGGCGGCTTCGTGAGTGCTTCTCGCCCCCCATCACCGCCAGGGCAGCCTGACGGCGTAAGATTCGACAGAAGCACGAATAATGTCTTCACACTACCGGCCACCTCCGAGACAAAGAGACTAATCACTCAGTACTTCACTGACACAGGGCTTCTTTTCCCATACATACACCCTGAAACCTTTCTTGAAACATACGATGCCATGCTACGTGATAACACAAAAGTACGCAGGACATGGCTCGGCCTTTTAAACATGGTCCTAGCTATGGCTGTGATTACCACTACCCCGGGTGGTGCACCCGCAAATGTGAGAATAGACGAATCTGATATCTTCTATCAACGGAGCCTGAGTCTATGTGGGAAAGAAATCTTGCGTGGGACGACCCTAGAAGTTGGTACGTACTTATTCTATAGAAAGATAGAACCCAGCGGACTAAGTTATCGCGGTCATTCAGTTCAGTATCTTCTTCTTATGGGCCAATATCTGCAAGGGACTCAGAAATCGGTCCAGGCATGGACAGTGCATGGTCTCGCGGTAAAAGCGGCATTTCAGCTGGGGCTGCACTCTAAAGATGCTTCTCGCGCTTTCCCCCGTCTAGAACAGGAGACGAGGCTACGTACTTGGTTTGGCTGTGTCATGCTTGACAGGTATACCGATCCATCCCTTACTACCCCTACCAGCTAACCACCGACTTCTTCCTTAGGACTTTGAGCATGACGTTTGGCCGCCCAGCTGCCATTCCAAACAGCTATGTCAAACTCAAACTGCCAGCCAGCGATGTCATGTTTGATTCGTCCAGGGTTGTGGACGAAAAGACATCCTCCCTCAGCTTAGTGCTATACAACTCAACTATGTAGGCCGCCATTGCAGTCCCCCCTCATCCCACTTCCAGTGTACCGCTCTAATACAAAGCAAGAACCCTGTATAATCAGATCTGTAAGGCCATTGATTTACTGTATGGCCAAAACCTAGGATGTGATCCCCCATTGCCGATTAGTGAGGCTGTCGCACATGTTTTCTCCCTAGAGCAGGAGTTATTCTCGTGGGAAAGACAGCTTCCTGACTCCCTGCGGTTGATCAATGGCGACGGAGTAGAAGAGGCGCATAAGGTCGCTGCCTCGGACTACGACTTTGCCGCTCTGAAATTTCGTATTATCCTAACACTGCGATACGCAAACTACCGCCTGCTTCTACACCGGCCGATCCTCGTACACTTTCTCGACGCCTGTGGCGGATCGCAGCCCGACCCCCAACAATTGCAGCTTCTTCACCAGCTCGGCCTGAGCAGTTTGCAAATCTGCGCTGATTCGACTATACAGATTATTGATCTTGTATACGACATTGTTCATCGGTCGGACAAGCGGCCCAATCTACTGGGGGCGTGGTGGTTCTCACTCTATTATAGTATGTCGGTACCTTTCAGATGCATCCCCGGTGGACATGTCTATTGATCCACAGGCTACTAACTGGTGGCTGCCCAGGCTTCAACGCTGCACTAGTTATCCTCGGTATTCTCACAGTCGGTCGCGAAGGGAGCGTGTCAGGCCAGCTGGCGAGCGGAGTCGTAGATAAAGTTAAGAAGCACCCTTTCCGTGCAGTCGCAGCCTTACTTAAACTGGATACTGGCAACCGCATGGTAGACCGCTGTCGACTTTATCTGGAAAGACTCATAAGTAGTTCGGGCCTCTACAGTGAGTTAGCTATCTTGATTGCCGTACATTCCGAGGTCCATCTAACCAACGGGAATAGGCATCGATGAGCTCAGTTCGGGCGCCGCGGTTGTGCCATCTATGAGCTTCGCTATCCCTTCGACCGCAGACATTGATATCTCTCCATTAGGGATGGAATTTGGAGAATTCATGGTGGATGGCGACATTTTCACGTCGTTTACCACGGGCTGAAGGCTAGGAACAAGCGGCTGTCAGCTAGTACAAAGTAGCACTCCTGTGGTCTTAAATTTATAACGTAAATCCGTATTAAACGATTAGATATTACACCATTCGGGGCGCTGCTCCGCTCATCCGTTCTCTCCCCGAGCCATTTTGTATATCAAATTGCCCCCACTTGCTACCCCCAAGTTTCCGTCCACGCAGAAGCTGCACGGCCATTGATCTACTACCTTTCACTGAACTAGAAGCCACCATGCCTAAACTTGCGTGGAAACGCCTCATCCGCTTCAAAGCCACCGACGGACGGATCCTTCGCGGCGAGCCTCTGGTCAACCGCGACGTCGACTTGGGTTTCATCACCGAAGCCGACCAAGTCCAAGTCCGCATTCTATCCGGAGACGATATCTACGATACAACAGGCAAGACCTACCTGACTGACGAGGTGGCCGTTGTGCAGACACTGCTAGGCCCATTGGCAGCGGAAGATATCCCGATCTTGCGATGTGTCGGGCTGAACTATGCGAAGCACAGTATGTTTCCTCCACATCCCTCCCCCATGTACCTTTGCCCCTTAACATATACGGGATCAAAGTCTCCCAGAGCTGACTGAAAGAAGTCCGCGAAGCTGGCCGGACCCCACCGCCATTCCCCTTCATCTTCTTCAAGCCCAGCACAACCGTCCACGACCACGGGGCTCCCGTGACGATTCCCAAAATAGCACAGGACGAGCAGGCAGACTACGAAGGCGAGCTGGTATGGCCAAGTTTACAGCTCTTTCTCCGTTCTTAACCACATTAACTTCAATTCACTCACGTATGTGCAGTGCATGGTAATCGGCCAAGACGCAAAAGACATTCCCATCGACAAAGCCCTCGACTACGTCGCAGCTTACACAGTGGGCAACGACATCTCGTCGAGAAAGCTCCAGCGAGACCCTGCGCTCGCCGGCCGCGTCCCGCAGTGGGGGTTCTCGAAGGGCTTCGACACCTACGCGCCCCTGGGCCCCTGTCTCGTCGCTCGCTCGGAAATCCCCGATCCCGGCATATTGCAGCTTCGCACTACCATTGATGGAGAGGTGAGACAGGATGAAGGCGTAGCGGACTTGCTGTTCGACTGTGCGTACCTGGTTTCCTATCTATCGCAGGGCACTACGCTGCAGAAGGGGAGCGTCATTATGACGGGCACGCCTGGAGGTGAGTTCGTCGGTTTTTCTTTTTTCTTTTTCTTTTATTTTTCTCTCTCCGCGGCATGCCAGTTGCAGACCAAGACCCTGTCATTGTGATAGAGTAAGGCTAATGTATCATTCGTCCAGGTGTTGGTGCCGGGCTGCAACCGCCGCGGTATTTGGTCCCTGGGACGCAGATGGAGGTTTGGGTTTCTGGGATTGGGACGTTGAGGAATAGCGTTGAATTTGCTTGAGCTTACTTAGTCGTAGATAAAGCAGATAGAGAGTTGGCTGAATGATATAGAATGATCGCAAGACATATTCTAAGTTCGTTGAATGCATCGCCGTGCCGTGGTCGGTTAGATGCTGGGGACTATCCTCAACTAGTATTTGCACAGTAGGAAAGCATCGACTGGCTCCAAACTTTTCAGATATAGTTACAGTGGTATGCCTTTATCATATGGATGCGTACTAAGTGTGAGCCCCCTTTTTACCGTCATTTGATTCTAAGATCCGGCACTTTTCATACTAAAGATAGAGGTAACGGCCAAAATTGAATGCTGACTTTGACCTAAAGAGTGAGAGAAGTGGTATGGATTCATATGTATCTGAGCTGCTGCTGACTACTAAGGCCCTTGAACTATTGAGGCTACAAATACCTGGCCCCTTTTCAGAATCCCCTACACACTACGCTCTAGACACTCTTCTTCTAAGTACAACCTCGCACTCCCTAGTCTTCACGAAGAACCCCTCTCGGAGCATAGTGTCACCAACAGATATACGCTCCAGCTGGTAGAGCTTGAACAGCGTTGCCAGGGTTTTGAGTATCTCCATCCATGCGAAGCTACCAGAGGGTTAATCAAACTTCATTTTATAACGACTAGAGACACTCACTTTCGACCGATACATGCACGGGGCCCAATGGAGAACGGGACGAAGGACTCCAATAGCGTCGAGGCGCCCTCGTCAAGCCAGCGCTCGTAGTGTCTTGTGCTTTAGCGGGGCGTTATTATAACGTACGCCCTCAGGCAAAAGCCTCCCCGCCACTACCTTCCCACCCTTAGGTGTAACCCGCTCGAGGCCAGTGGCACTCGTCGGCCGAAACCGCATAGTCTCCCGGACAATGGCATTCAGAACAGGAAGGCTCTCGACGGTCCGAAAATCCGCCACCCAGTCCTCTGACATCTCGCCGGGGAAAGCGCCATCCAGCTCCTCTTGGAGGTGCCGCTGGGTCAGCTCAGAGCGTGACACGATATCGACGACATTTACCATGCTTGTACTGGTTGTGTCGCTGCCTCCGACAATGAATGAAATCGACTCGGCGATGATCTCTTTCTCGCCGAGGGCCTCGCCTGTTTCGGGATCGTTGGCTTTGAAGAGAAAGCTGAGCAGGTCTTTTCGGGACTTGACTTGGTTGCGTCGGTTGAAGTAGGCCTTTGTTCCAATTGCGGCGAGAGCTCGTGTGCCGCGTAGTCCCTGCGACCAGAAGGTGTCTAGAGGTAGTCGTTTGACCAAGGATCTCAGGGATTGGGGAATGTGGCCGAGGGCATTGAGGACTTCACCGCGTGCATCAACTGCCTCTATGAGGTTCAAGTAGTCCTCCCCACGATCGAGGAAACTGAACGATTCACCAAACGCGAAGTCACCTGGGCCGATGAGCGAGGTGTTGACTAAAGGAAAGGGAACAGGGGGCATACCAATGACGTCGAAAGCAAGGAAATTTGCTGTGTAAAGGGTTAGCCCTGTTTCCCAGGTACACGCCAGACAAATGTACGACAACTAACCATATACGTTAAAATCCAGGGTGATCCTCTCAGATGTCTGCAGTCGCTGATCAATAGACTTTATGAGTTTCTGCATGTTCTTCATCATGTATGGCTCAAAGTCCTGCAAGCGTTTTGCCGAGAACGCAGGGCTGACAATCTTCTTCTTGCGCTGATGGACTTGGGGGTTCCTAGTATTGAACAGCACTGGCTCGACCTGATGGAAGGGTAGAACGCTCTCAATGTCAGCTTGGTATGGCAGTTGCGGCCGACGGAGCAAAGCATATCTTGATAAAATGGTCCCTTCAAGAACCCTGACTGGTGGCTGTAGATTTGTTGCACGGCCGCTGGGTTCGCAATTGAGATGTGGTTTGGTGCAATACGAACAAAGTCTCCGTATTGCTCATGTAAGTCGGAGACAGCCTGCGACCTCCGACCCCGTCTGCATTGCAGGATTATCCACAGAGGAGAAACTCTAGCTAGCAGAGGACCGGGAAAGGCCCGTAAAGGCGAGAATAAGAGGCAGTACAGAGTCCATGTCGCAATCTTCAGGGCCCGGGTGGTTAGAGGTGAGCGTCTTGCGAAGTCTCTGAGTAAGCTGGACGTACTGCACCAGATAGAATGATAGACACCGCGAGGGCCGGGCTTGTTGTCGAGGGTGAGATGCAATTCTCCATAATGATTGATTAATCATCCAATGTGGAGACCCAACATTTCTCATACTTGAACGCTCTGGAAATTATACCGCAACTGCATCCACGGACCGGGGAGAGACCGGAAAGGTTTGGTGGCTACAAGCAACCAGATACTGGACCTCGGCCGTTCGGCCCCGGGGCATCCCCGGAGTACTTGGACGGTGTGTGGGATGCACCGTACCATCATGTGTATTCCGGACATTTTTCATCACAAAAACAAGAATCTAATCTGTTAGACTGACCCTGAGGTATACAATTACTTTACAAATAAGAGAAGAAAATTGACAGTTTCCAAACATTCGATAACGTGTCGCAGCCAGTAGCTGAAGAACCTTTGTTTACACCGATGAGTTGTTGAACGCGTTGGTTCTATGAGGTTTGCGTTCACGACCAAGAAAATGGAGGAAGTGTCTCATCGAGAGCAAAGGTCATATTTTCAGCGTTCAGATATTCCGGCCATTCGACAATATCCTCCACCCCATCAGTCAGGCCTGTACTGGGAGGAATATCTGTGAATAGATCTTCAATTTCGTGGATCATCTTCTCATGATCCTTCGACGCTGCATTGCCCAGTCGAGCCATTTCCCCAAGTAAACTCCTCACCGGACTATACAAAGCACTGGTCCGGGCAGCAGCAAAAGCATTGGGCCGCTTCTCCATGAGGCAGCTGGAGATCACATGTACGGTGAGGCTGGAAAAGATGTGCAGGGACTCCCAAAATCCGAATTTCGCTGTGAAGATATTAGCATACCGAAATAAGTTCGAAAGTGGATACCTGAGATAATTTATGAGACGAAGAAACATACCAATTTTATGGCATTTCGACAGGGCAAATATAATTGAAGTGCTATGTGTTGCGGCTTGCAAGCACTGTGTATTGAGGCTTACAACATCATTGCAAGTCATGAAGTCTTCTTGTCCATGGACGAGGTTATGGAGCTGTTTCAACAACAACGGGCGAAGGAGAAGGATAAAACACTAACCCATCAGCATCACGTTGTCGATCTGGAATGGCCCTACTTACCTGATTATAGCGAAGAAGCAGGGAAGCGACGGTCCGCATTGGCGGGAAAGCCAGAGTTTTGTCCAAGAAACCTCCCTCTTCGGTAAACTCCAAACGTGGCGAGAACTCCAGGCTCCAATGATTCAAAGCTTGTAGACATGGCCCAATAAGTGCTTGTGCTTCGACGGCATTTCCGAAACGGAGTTCAGAAACCGTCTTGATAATTTGGTATTTGATACGACAAAGCTTTACTTGTGCGGTAAGATACTGAGGATCTGAGAATTCTTCGACGTCCTCCTCGGATAATTGAGAATTATCCGGAAATCCGATGCTGTCCTCTTTGAATACACAAGCGGGCTCCAAGGATAACTCTATGCAAGTTGTTACATCCATGCAGATCGTCGTCCACCATACGCGTTTGCGATGTTCCTGCTCCAATGGACTCATTGCTGGCTGCGGCTTTGAAAGTCCGAGGAGCTTGGCCAACCGGAGAGCTGTCCCAGCGTATGTATAAGCTGTTTTGCGTCGATTGAGAGAGTAACAGTAGAATGTCTATCATAAATCAGATTCAATGCGACTATACTCCCCTTTCAGCATCATACTTACAATGAGATTGAGCGCCTCAACCTGCTCTACTGTGGGCTCCTCGTAAGATGGTGGTAGAAGGAGCAACCCTTGCTTGAAGAGTTCAATCCCCGGTGGAGTTACTCGTTCAGAGTCTATTGTATCAGCATTATTGGTGGAGAGCCCGGTTCTGCTGTCAATCAGAAAGGCTGGAGAAACAATGTCATTATATGACTCTCCCAGGGCCAGGACTACAGAAACACAGCAAAGCCATGTTTTTTCTATTTCCTGCGACCGTGACGGATCGTACAGATCATCTATTCGAGTGCGAAAGCGTTTCTTTTGATACCAGTGATAATCACATCCCATAAAGGACTCGAACTGACCCAGAAGATAGAGGGCGTAAGAGTACGGTGGAAGTTTAACGAGCACCTTCGGTCCTATGGAGGTTAGGAAGGTCGAAAGTGACGGTCGTGACTCTACATACGGCTATTGTCATGTTCCAGAGGAATGTAGGTGTAGCTCGACGCCGTGGATTGGGCGTTGAGCTCGCTTACGGAAGGGGTCGATGTCGTTGGAAAAGGGGGTACCCCGGCTACCTCTTGGATAGGGTTGGAATACACGCCTTTGAGCTTGCGTACAAAATGTTCGGTTGTTGAGTTCTCAACTAATCGCTCTGGCAGTATCTGTTCCTGCGACCCATCGCTGTATGGGGTTGTGGGCTGGTAGCTGGTGTGAGTCACGGCTCTCTGGCCGTCACGACTAGGCTGCCGTAGCCGTACGATTTCGCTCTCTAGCCGGCGTAAATAGTTCTCAGGAACAGTTGTGAGTCGTTCCTGGGACGGGAAAACGCATGTTTTCCGGCTCGAAACGCACTTTACACACGGCTGTTCTGATCCTCAATCGGTCAGGGTGATGATTACGAATCGCAGAAACCATGCTTACCACCACTACATTTCACTTTCTGGCTGCGACAGTAAAAGCAGGCGCGGGCAGATCTTCCTTTGAATCGAGGCATATCCCAAATGTTGAGCAAAGGGTTTGGAAGGAGAACAGAGAAGTTGAACTCTTCTCCGACTCCCGCGCTAAGGTTGGTCAGGTGAGGTGGCAACTCCGTTCAATTTACTTCTAACCGAAGCTGGATAAAAGCATCTTAACCCAGAACATTCGCTCCCCTACAACAGAATCAGAGAATTGTGACATATTGAATTACACAGCACTTGTTCTAGACGGTGTCGAGACTTGATGATTATCATCAATCGAACTTCTCTTGTCTCCTCATACCCTTTGTGGCTTCGCTAAAAGTCGCATGAGCATGTTAAGCACCCCGCAGTTTTCGGAGACTACGGCTGACTCCTCCCTCAGTATCACCAAATGTTTCATATCGCTATGTCTCTTGGGACGGCGCACAGTCTATCCAACGTCGGCCACTACGGCGATAGGCGCCAAAGATCAATCTGATCCCGCTGCTGAGAGTGTAGGATTTTGTTTATCGCCTTTGATAAGAACTAACGCAGCCGTAGCGGCCGAACGCGGCAATTAACAATTGGTCTGAACCTTAACCAATGATGCGGGGAAACCCTATCTAAGATGCCTTTAGCTTTGACCAAGGGCAAGTACTGAAGCCGAGCGAGGAGGTGCGTCCTGGAGATTGGAGAGCAGAGGGGCAGATGACGGCTTTCTTTGAGATAGGAGAAAAGGTATTAATGTGCAGCGTACTTCTCGCCATTCGGGGCGTTAATCAATCTTGTTTTGAGTACTTTTCATGATGGCCGATGATAAGAAGGAGCAACCCGAGATGACCCCAGAGGACAAACTTGAACGGGGCTCAACCGTTTCAATTCGGTTGCCTCCTACGCTTCAGGACACAACAGATGATGAGAGAATAGCGGTAGAAAAGGCCTTGGTCAGAAAGCTTGACCTTCGGCTCATGCCAATGCTGGTCTTGATTTATATCATGAATTATTTGGACAGGTGCTTTTCATTTATCTTCATTCATGGGGCGGCAGTGCGCTAATACTTCTGCCAGAAATGCGATCGCAGCGGCCAAGTTAAGTGGCATCACAGAGGAACTCAATCTGACATCCGTTCAATTTCAGGTATTTATACCGTTCATAAGGTTAAAATGGGTTCATGACTAAATTGCTTAAGACTTGCGTTAGCATTCTCTTTGTCGGGTATGTTAGAACCGTTTGGAGAAGTAAGTCCCCATATTGATGATCACAGTTATATTCTCATGCAAGTACCGTCAAACCTATTCTTGAACAAAATCGGAAAGCCTGCACTTTATCTTCCAACGTGTATGGTAGTATGGGTGAGTTGAAGACACAAAGGTTTATTCAAATGAACATGTCTCATAATCATTCAATTAAGGGAATTTTATGTGGGGTTACTGGTGCGGTTCAAAATTATGGTGGCCTTCTGGCCTGCCGGTAAAGCACCGTTCGGAAAATTGTTATCCACGGTGGGCTAACATAGCCCTTCCAGATTTATCCTCGGTTTCGTTGAAGCAGCATACTTTGTCAGTCCTATGCTCTCAGACTGTACTTATGCGAATGTTAGCTAACGCCGTGCTAGCCAGGGTGCATGGCAACATTGAGTGCTTGGTATACTCGGGAAGAACTTTCCTTGCGTACTGCCATTCTCTACTGTGGGTCTCTTCTCTCCGGTGCATTCTCCGGTCTTATTGCTGCCGGTATTAATGACGGCATGGATGGGTGGGTTGAGGTCCCAAATTCAACGCCATTGCTGCAGACTAATAATAAACTAGAGTGAAAGGGCTCCTCGCATGGAGATGGATATTCATCATCGAGGTACGTGTTTCTGCGAGAGTCCTTCTACTGTTTCCGGCCAGCACCTGATCCTCCACCATTATAGGGGTCAATCACAGTGGTTATTGCCCTCGCCGCTTTCTTTGTTTTACCAAACTTCCCCCACAATACAAAAGGCCTGTCCCAACAAGAGAAGGAGCTCGCAATTTGGCGGCTAGCAAGGGATATTGGACAGGAAGATTGGGATTGCGAGGAAGATCTAAGCTTACTCAAGGGTTTTAAAGACTGCATGGTTGATTGGAAGACCTGGCTTCTCGTGATTCTCAACTTCGGCGCTGTTTCCAGCGGCACAATCAACAGCTTCTTTCCCACGGTGGTCGAGAGCTTGGGTAAAGGTCGCATTCATACACTCCTACTAACAGTACCGCCGTATATACTGTCTTGCATTGTCGCTATGACTGTTTCCCGAAATGCGGACCGAACCGGAGAACGATATCTCCATTTCTCCTTACCACTGTGGATTTCCATTGCTGGATTCATCATCTCAGCAGCTACTACCAACCTCGGTGCCAGATACTTTGCGATGATGATCATGCTGCCGGGTGTTTATACGGCATTCATTATTGGTATCTCCTGGGTCGCAAATACGATTCCAAAACCATCATCAAAAAGGGCTGCTGCACTCGCATTTGCAAATGCAGTTGCAAATTGTTCATCTATATATACCCCCTATCTCTATCCGGACAGTGATGCCCCTCGTTTTGTTCTTGCTATGAGCGTGAACGCAGGCACTTCATTGCTTTCGATATTCACCGCCACTATTTTCCGACTCCTTCTACAGAGAATCAATAAACAACTGGACAGAAGGGATGCCGAAGAGGGGACCGTTGGAGGCTTCCGCTACCTCGTATAATGTTGCTAGCAAGAGGGTGGGAAACATTTTCTGGGATATGTGGTTATTCCAGTACATAGCTATACATCTTAGAATGTATTATCAGCTAGTAACACAACATGACTCAATCGATGTAAAGCATTCCTATCTAAGAAGAGGCTATAATTATATAGTATTTGAAAACTTGAGAAGTGATTCATTTAGTCAGCCAAGTTTCTACCACTGATCTCTATGTTTTTAACCATGGTTATGACTCGCTAATCCGCTTCCCTATACATCTATGGCGAAAGTAAAGCGCCACATGGTGTACGCCGAGTCATGGTGATTTATGGAGACTCATTCCATAATCTAGACCTTGGATTCATAATATCATTTGTTCAAAATGTATATGATCTGGCGAATAGAGATATCGTCCATTTTATACCACACCTAGCTGGCGACGAGGCCCTCATACAGCAACCACTTTGAAGCTCACACTGTTAATTTGTATTCATTTGCAATTGAAAGCACATTCTCACTAGTCCACATAGTCAAGTCTAATATAGATCCGTCTTCACCTGAATGCCATTCATCTAAAATTGTCTATCCCCTCATCCTCACAATTCAACCGTGGAAGCTACGGTGTACGTCTAGTCCGTCTTGGAACCATCTGCCCACTGGGTATTACAGAGTCGGAAACACTCTGCTCGCGTCATTTCTTCCTCTGCGTTGAAATATTGTCCTGATGGACGGAGAGTTCAATAGCTGACATGATCTCGTCTTCCGTGAGTAGCCCTTTCTCAACCACGACATCCAGGAAAGGCCTTTTTTCTGCGAGGGCCGCACGGACGATGGTCGAAGTCTGCGCATAGCCGAGAGTCGGCACCAGTGCAGTAGCCAACGCGCTAGATGCACGTAAATGCTTACGCGAGACATCTTCATTTGCAGTTATCCCTTCGATGCACCGACGACTGAAAGTCCCGGCAGCGCCAGCGAGTAAACGGATGCTGTCAAGGAGACGGTCACACACAAGCAGCTCAAAGTGATTGATCTCGAGCATGCCTTGCTGGCATCCCATTGCAACTGCGGTATCGTTACCGGCGATGGCAAAAGCAACCTGGCAGACCGCGATGGGGATGACTGGGTTGACTTTTCCGGGCATGATTGAGGATCCGGCCTGGACGGAAGGCAGAGTGACCTCGTTAATGCCACCGCTGGGACCAGAGGATAAGATGATAAGGTCGTTGGCGATCTTCCATAAAGTGTTGGCGGTGTTTCGCAACTCCCCTGAAAGACGGGCACAGGTGTCCATGTTTTGCATACCGTCAAATGCGTTGTTGCTCGGCTGTATCTTTGCGTCGAATAATAGGGACATATGCCGGAATACAGCAGCTTTATACCCTGGCGAGGACCCAAAGCCTGTTCCAATGGCTGTTCCTCCTAGGGGAACTGTCAGAAACTGTCTGCGAATTGTGTCAAGCTGGTCTGCATGTCGCCGGACGGCCGCCTCATAACCTCCAAATGCTTGGCCGAGGGTCATCGGCTGCGCATCTTGAAGACAGGTCCTACCGAGACGAAGAAGCGAGCTATACTCCTCACGCTTCGTCGAGAATGCGTCAGCTAGCTGACGGAGGGTGAGCAGAGCCTCTGCCATTGCATGGTACACGGCCAACTTCATGGCAGTAGGGACCACATCATTAGTGGACTGCCCCAAGTTGACATGATCATTCGGATGGATAAAGCTGTAATCAGAGAGCGCTCGACCAGAGCGCTTTGCAACAATATTCGCAATCACCTCGTTCATATTCATGTTTGTTGAGGTGCCACCCGAGCCTTCCAGCATATCAACAACAAGATGTGCATTGTGTTTGCCGAGTTTGATTTCCTCACAGGCCGCGTAAATCGCATCTGCCTGCTCTGCTGTCAGGTCACCTATTTCGCCGTTTGCACGGGCTGCCGCTTGCTTTATTGTGGCGAATGCATAGATGAACTCCGGCCATGTTGTGATAGGTCGACCAGAGAGCGAGAAATTCTCAAGCGACCGGTAGGTGTTGATGCCATAGAGTACCGAACTTGGCAGCTCTACCTGGCCAAGACTATCTTTCTCGACTCTTGTATTCGCCAGAGGCTTCTGTATATCATCTGTGACGTGCATTGTCACAACTATACAATGAAAAACACAATATGGATCTGATAATTTCCTTGGTGCTTGTCGGAAAATATAGGTCTGCGGACCTTGCTAGATCGTTACGTCACAGTGCACTGGGGCAGGAGTTCAGGTTCCAGGGCCAGACGAAGGTATTCAAGGAGGTTTCCCGGGGTATCAGCTCGCCGGGTAAGTGCCGGCAAACAACTTGATTGGTGAAAAGGGAGTCTAGATTGTCACTGCAATGTTAAAAAATTGAAATAAGGCAGATGTTACAGGAGCAATGAAGGCGTGAATAGTAATATATATACACGGAGAATCGGGCTCCCTCGGATCAGGTCGCAATAAAGGTCCGTACGTAGGTGTGGAGGTTTGACAAGAAATACCATGGCCGAGTCCATCTTCAGGTGTGTACCTTCCAATCCGCAATGGGACTATAATTCCAAAGGACTTTTCATCTGTAGATGGAAACTCTCCAGGTGGATGAAGATGACCCTTCCGTTAGGTGTCCATACTTGATGACATCGGCCGCTACGGCCAATGTGGACAATATTATTGGCTATTTCAAACCCAACCGATCAACCCTCCGTAGCGGCCGAATGAACTGTGCCCCACAAAGGTTTGATAGAGCTTGTGAGTCACGTGTGTATCGGCTGCCCTAAGTGGAATTTATACTATAAGAGCTATATTCTAATGTGACCAGCATCAAGTCTATACACCATCGCTCTTACTTTACTTATATAGTAAACTTGATTCTATCATGGAAGCGTATTTGGAAGTCGTCGCTATATTGAATCATAATTCGTGTGTTAGATTTAGCCCCAACTAATAGAAAGCAAGTGTAGTACTAGTATTCAGAGGGAACGTGGCCATTTCACACCGGCCTGTTCGAGAATCTAAACCCGCTAAATAGAGATGCAGAGCTGTTATTAGATTCACCAAAGGTCATTTGCCCATATTACTAGACTTCAGCACTAATGTGAGGTGCGGGCACATCGCTGGAGGCCTGGTCGATTCGACACATGCACCAGTTTCTGCTGGGATGGTCGACCGGGGTTTCAGACTCCACCGAACTGACGCTAAAACACAGTTAAGTATTCACTACGGAGCGCGAAAAAAGCCAGGACGTGAACAGTTCAAGTGGGGCTTCTTCCTTTCTCTCGAAGCTATAAAGCTTCGACATCCGAACTATTAGCTGCGTCTGGTCCATGGAAGCACAGAGTATCCTTGCATGCTGTGGGCCCACGAAGGAAAAGAGAAGAAGCGGAAAATTCTGCTCGTTTGGGAAGGCTGGGCTGTTCCAGCAAGCTTCCTCAAGCTCTTGTCTTTGCATATCATGTATATTCTCCATTTCCTCCTCACTCTCTGCTTTTGGCTGGCTGGCACGGCCTTTCATAACAGCAAGAATTACGGCAAGCTCCCCATATAGAATGAAGTTTTCTCTAGCCTCCACTGGCTGGGAAGCCCCCACAGCAATATGGGGAAGTGATGGGGCATTTTGCTTCTCATATTCAATGAAAAAGCAGATGTCCCAGCGACCTCCAATCGGTGGACAGAATCCCATTCTTGGGCAGCAACGCAAGAAAGGATTAGGGAACCTAGAAATTGCAATACATCAATGATTGAATCTCAAAAGCCAATTATCGGACAGTAAATCAAAATGCATCGTACTTACCTTACGCGGTGTACTCCGCAGAAATCCAATAAGTTTGTATGCCGGCGCGGAAGCCTTCGACTTGCAAGAGCCCACTTATGGAAGAATCGGACCGTATTACCAGAACAGCTTTGAGCGGACCACCACCAGTCGTCCTCGGTATTGCTCCTATATTCCGGTGGGATGTAGTCGGTGAATGGAATATCGTTTTCGGGACGGTAGCTGTGTGTTATCGAAAGAGACAATGGGGTAAACGGGGCCGGTGTTACTGAAGGAGAATCCACAGAGCTCGTTTCGATTTCCCAAGGAACTAGAGTAATCCCAAGTCCTGAAAGAAACGATGCTGCAACATCTCCTTCTGAACCGGGCTCACTTGAGATGAAGGGCTTCTCCTTTCCTCCAGTAACGACCTCGTATAGCCATCTCACTTGCTCGCGTGTCACATTCCCTGCCATTATGAAAAGCAGAAAGAATAGTTAAGGATTGAGGAAGTAAGTAGTTGGAGGCTTGCGGTCGCCTGTCAGTTGTGGGTGGTGGACGGTGGACGGTGGATGGTGGTTGGTGGATGGTGGACGGGTAAATGGGGAGGAAAAGAAAAGAGGAGGAATAGAAGAAAGGCCACAATCATGTGATGGGGATCACAATGACGGCAAATCTCTCAACCTCTTTAGCCATCATGATGTTAAGACGAGAATTTGGTCACAACCAAAGTATTAACTTTTCAGGAAGCTTCCTCCCCCATTACTGAGATAGCCAACGATGGTGAAGTATCAACCATACAATTGTGTCTTTAATTACACTTGCTAGGGGTATGTATAGTATGTATCTAATACATTGCACAAATCCAGAATCAAGATATGAACATTATATCAAACTGATATTACCTACGCGTCAGTTTCGGGAACAGCGCTGGAAGCACTGCTGTTATCCAGCTGACTCTCGCCGGTTGGGGGGGCCGTGCCCGTCTCGGTGTCCATCTGGGTAGCTTCAGCCGAGATATGCTGCCGCTGCTCCTCCCTCCGAGCTCGCCAGTCCTGTGCCCGAGCACGGGAACGTCTCTGCCGGTGATTGAGCTGTGTTCCGGCTTCCTCGCTCCGGTTTCCAGCCAAGGTATTGTTTCCATCGGCGGCCGCGGGCAGAGGGTGGATGCTAGAACCACCGGGTGTGGGCGTATTCGCGCCACCACCACGACGACGATTACGTCGACGCGCAGGAGCCGAAGCACCGCGGGAGTTGACAGCGGCGGAAGAGGAGGAAGGGGGCGTGGACAGAACATCCGCCATGATAGTACTCTGTGTTCAACGTTAGTCTTATTCAAGTGACAAATTGTATTTCATGTGCTTTCTTACCTAGGTTGCCCGGAGTTGCTCAACGGCAGCCCACATTCGCTGACCAAGTTCGACCACTGGGCAGACTTTACCCGGATGATGGGTACCGCATCCGTTTCTGCAGACCCAGGGCTCCCTTTTGGCAGCGTTGTAATTGTCAGTAGATTCCATACAAAATAGCTTTATCTGTGGGGCATACTACGCGGTCAGTTGGGGGTTTCTTGCCATCTCGGCCACGCCGACCACCGCGGTTGGGGTCTTCACCCGCTCCAGCGGCTGCTGCAATGGCCGGGCTGTCAGCCCACCTGCTCTGCTGGAGATCACCAGACATAGCAAAAACAAAAAAAGAAGGGGCGGGGGGGGGGGGGGCAGGAGGCTATTAAAATGAGTTTGTTGCTGGTAAGCTAGAACACTGAGTTCCTTTGGCTATGCCGTTATGAAGTGGAAGCAGGTTGTGGTGAGAAGAAAAGGTAAAAAAGAAAATCAAGAGAACTTGGGGGCTTGTAACAGAACCAAGCAACAGGGTCACCTAGGTTACAAAAACAAAGCTCTACTGCTGCATTATTCACTGATCTTCGCCTCCCCAGCCATCCTTTTGATTCTAGGATGGAATTTCTCTCCTTTCCGAGTTCACTTCCTTCCTTACCTGGCATCTTGAATCTGGGTTCTCTTGTCTTCTGGGTGAATCTCTCCCATCCCCTCAATGCGTTTGTATAGTTATATATAGATAGGAGACGGTTCATATTGGCCCGGGCAGAAGCAGCAATGATTTTGAACCAACTTTCGAGATCAACGCACCAATCACAGGCGAGTCTCTTCCACTCGAAGTATACTCGACATGATAACAAAAGTCGTATAGTGATTGCTGTAGAAGATCGGGGCCTCTAAAGAAACATCCGTTATTACTGAGTATATACCTGGAAAAGAGAGACTAACACAAAGTGCATTCATTCACTTTGTTTGGGATAGGAGATGGGGGGGCATGAGCTGGTTCTTGAGATGTCCAGTGACTCCAGTCCTCCTCCTCCTCCTCCTCCTCCTCCTCCTCTTCTTCTTCTTCTTTGATTCTCGTCCTACCAAGTAACACTGCATCCCACATCCCATCTTAACTTTTGATAACATTCCTCTTGATCACGCTAGCTCCCACTCTCACAATGGCGAATGGCGTATTGCCCGAGACCGAAAGGGAGTGGAAAGAAACCGCTCGGAACTACAAGGTAAAGAATCAATCCCTGTGGATGAACTTGAAATTGCAGTCCGCGTCTAGGGTCAGCTATAAGCAGTTTCTACTCTTCAGGACCATCCTACCGTCCATTGTTCCCCCACAGCAGCTCAATATCCAGACCCTTGGCATAGCACCTCTAATGGTGCAAGTCAATCAACTCCTGAGTGGTGTGGCATTTAGGGATTATATCTTAAATCTCACCACCAGGCAGATTCGGGGAACTTGGAGTGCAGCCTGGGGAGGGAACGACAGACTGTTCAGGGTTCCAGCTATCCAGCAACAGCAAGTAATTCGGAACGAGCTTCAGGACGAAAGTACCGAAGCAAGTGTCAACACTTCCATCGTTTCCTTTTTACAAGCTATTGCGGAGTTGGTTCCTCAGTCTGGACGCCAATGGACGGCTGATAGAAACAAGCTGACGGCAGACTTTAGCACGCGACGGCGCAAAAGACAGTTCGTTGCATATACTGATGGTCAGCTGGAGGATACTTTCAGTCGTCAGATTTTGGCACTCATTGAGTGTAAACGATCGCGGCGGGATGATCATACCCCAGCTGTTGATATGCAGGAGGTGGCACAGATGGTGGCATGGGTGAAGCAGGACCCGGGCGTACCAGGAAATGATAAGCGAGTTCTTGTGTCGCAGGATGGAACCGATATTTATATCTCGGTCTTCCAGTACAACCAAGGATGGTTACGCTATCTCAATGGAGGCCCCGGGAGTATCGTGCATGCTGGATTTGCCTACATGCACAGGTACGGCCCCTGGAACATCTGTGCGACACGAGAGATGGAGCATTTTGCTCGAATCATCCTCGCCCTGCTACTTCTGTAGCCCCTTGAAGACCCATGTTTGTCCCATCGCGTGGAGATCTTCGAGGATCAAACCTCTTGTTCCTCAAATCCCGTTGATTTATAATCCGGGTGCCTGTGTCCCATCGATCAGGCCTCCAGCGATGAGCTCGCACCTCACCGTGGTGCTGGAGTCTAGTAGCCTATGGCGAATGGCCTATGGTGAAGCTAAGACGAGCTCTATATGCCGATATGGCTTTGTTTACCCCTCAGTTCCTGTGCAGAAGGCATACTTTTGTTGTATAGTATTAATGCTCCTAAGTATTGGATCATTGTTTGTTGATGTACCGTATCACAATATGTATGAAGAATATGCCTATGCCTATGTCAATATATCTACATCTCTTGTGAAGTAGAAATTATAGGACCTCTTGTATGATATAGTCCCCATACTCCATTAAGATACCAGACTTACTGTTCCAACAGTGTTCCCTTTCTAATGTAATTCAAATTGGCTCTCATCAAGTCCAGCTCTAGCCATGTGGTAATACAAGATGGAGATAAAGGGTCAAGAGAAACATACCAATCAGGATCTAGGTTGCTCTGTAATAGAACAAGTCAACTACTAGTATACACAATGGAATCAGACGAGTATTTTAGTATTTTCATAGTCGGCTAAATTAACTGGCTAATCAAATATTGACATATTTTTCGCTGCCATATTATCCAATTACTCATAAGCCATAAATGTATAGTTTAACTATATATCGGTTTAGTGACAAAATATATCAATAGTTTTTATCATGTCTAGATGTTTAGGTTTAGGTATGGGGAGCGCTCACTGTTCATATTTTGCGCCAAATGTGACTTCTTTCTAGCTCGGGTGTGTATAGTAGTTGGGTGGTTGAACAGGGGCCTAGAGTGCGCTGAAGGCTGAATAGGGCAGCAAGCCCACGCAGCACCGGGAGGCCACTACCATACTTATGCTGTTCGATGTTTTTGTTTCGCCTGCGCTGTCGGTATAAGACATCCAAAATAGGGGCGTGGGGGAACCCATTTTATCTTTTTGAAAAACACGTATTAAATTGCTACTTCACCTAATCCTAGTCATAGCGAGGAAGGATATCGGCACATTTTCAGAATGGCCAGACTCCTATACAAACCCCTTGGCTGTTCGCATTCAATTAGTGCGTAAAACCACTTATCACTGTCAATTTCGGAGCAGGCATTGTTTTTTATGTTTCCACGGCTTTCACATCAACGGCAGCCTTCTACTTGCCCACTTTTGTGGTCTGTCAACAGCCGCCCATGAAGGCAAGGGGGAATACTCCGTGTGTAAGAATAGTAACGGTATTGAGATTACGCCTTCCACATACAACCCCCTTACCTAGCAGGATCGACACGTGACCTGTTATCGATAGCACATCATTAGCGTCAGAGCGATCGCGACTGCGACAGACAGGTTGGCGCGATGGGGCAATGGGGAAATGGACTCAACGCGTACCATTTCCGAACTGAAATCCTCCTTCATCCGGGCGCAGGTGCGTATCCTGTCTGAAAGCCTCCAGGCACCCGAGGATTGGAGAAGCTATACCGCCGCCTCGGAGGAGGATGACCTGAGCGATAAGGTGGTCGGAGATGTCCTACAAAAATGTACGGTTCGTGAAATACTTACTTGGCTACGTTGGTGGTCCTATGCTATTGACTGCGCCGGGGGCTCTACACTATTCTAGCCGTCTTTGTTCCTCGCTGACTGGGTTGTAGTAAACAGCGCATTGAAGCAGCATAATCGCATTGTGTACTCCTCCCAAGCGATCCAACATGTCGCACAGCAAATCGCCAGCCTCTACTGGACGTCGGTGAACGACGCGATACGCGACCAGAACTCATTCGAGAGAGGTATTGAGAAGACGGTCGATTTGTCCAACCACTTGTGCGTCGCAACTCTCTTGAACTCCATTTCTCCCGACCGCAAGAGTCATTCGACTGACACGTATCAGAAACCTTACGCAGCTCCCTGTGGAACTCGAGGACCAGTCCGCAAGCGAGGAGGAACGTCTCAGGTTGGGTTACAATGTGGTAATTTGGGTTTCATCCGGCTGACAGGAGGCGGTTACAGGTATCAGAAGTTACGAGAACGCTTGGTCACTCTTGATAACCAGCGACAGCAGCGACGACGGCGTCTGGAACAGTTGCGCCGGTTACAGCGCCTTTTGGAACCGTTTCAGGAACCGCAGCAGAATATCCAGCCGAACCTTATTACTCGGGATGGCGAACTAGTGCAGGAATTGGAGAAGATGAGGATGCTTGTTGCACGGGTAGGAGGTCGCATCCAACATAGCAAGAAGCGCGGTGATAGCCAGGAGGATCCGACTTCGTATCGGTTGGACTCGGACCAAAAGCTGGAAGCCCTCCTCGATATGAATGGGTGAGGAGTGTGATTGAACATTGATAAAACATA